GTTACCTGGGGTGGGGTTCTGTGCCTAGGGTGGCCTCCACGGCAGCCAGGCTCTGCAGTCCTCTGTGCACATCAGTGTTGGGGCCTCCTTTATGCCTGGCCATCTTCTGCTCTGCCTCTCCTAGTCCCAGATGCTGGCTCCCTCCAGCCAGGAGCGGGGCAGTGGGAGGTCTCAGGTGGCCGTGACCCTGTGTCTTGGTGGGTTTTCTTGTCCAGCCTGTCTCACGAGCTCCTGCTCAGGGTCTGGAGAGGAGGCTGGGAGAGGGGCCAGCCCTGGTGCACAGCTGTGGGGCTGCTGTTCCTGCACCAGCCCCGCTGGCTTCCCAAGTTCACGACAAGCCTTTGCTGGGTTCTTCCCGCCTTTCCTAGGTGCTCTGCCACCTGTGAGCCAGCGCTCTGCCTGTCTCCCAGCCTGCCGGGCTTCCCTGGACTCTGGCTGGGTGTTCCCCAGCCCAGTTCTCTTGTGGGTTTAAGCAGGGCTGGACTTCTCTTGTGGTTCCCTTTCTGCTTTCCACACCCAGGAGGAAGCTGTGTTTTCATTCTCCTGCCTGCAGGGTGGCTGCAGGGTGGCTGCAGGGTGGCTGCCCACCCTGACTGACCCTTTCTTTCCCTGTTGCAGCCAAGAAAAAAGACCCAGGTCAGGAGGCTCCAGGGAGAGCAGAAATCAAAGGGGCCTTTGGAAAGTGTTCCCCCTACATCTCCTCATCCACAGGCCACGTGGTCACTGTTTGCTGAAAGAGAGTGACCCTGTGAAACGGAGCCGCCCACAGCCCCTGAAGGCCCTCAGGAGCACGTGCTGGGAGACAGCAGGATGTGCTGAGCAGCTGCGCTTGGGACGCTCCTGTTGATAGCTTCTCAAGGGTTTGTCCTTCCCTTCTCTTTGAAAATCAGCGAGAGCTATGGACCCTCTCCTGTAAGGATTCACATGTACACAGAGGGTGCGTGTGATCTGGGACACCTACCGATTCTCCAAAGTCCCTTCAGGACTGTCTTTGATCCAAGGGACTCACACACACCTGTGCCTTACTCCTGGTTCTCCGAATCCGGAGACTGAGGCAAAACCCGAGGTGTGTCTGGGACTTTGGAGTGTGGCTCTGGGGACAGAGTGAGGGGCAGAGGAGTAAATCTCAGAAGAGGGGACTATCCGTGCGAGGAGGTGTGACCAAGGTGCCATCAGGGTGGTTAATGGTGGAGGGAAGGGGGTGTTCGTCACAGATCCTGCCCTCTGTGGCGTGGATCCTTGTGTCTCTGGGTGCTACCCTGGAGCTGGACCAGGCTCCCTGAGGCAGACAGCCCGCGAGCGAGAGCTCCCTGGCCTTCTGAGCATGGCTGGTGTGGTGCCAACTGTCCTGGCTGTAACTGGGGTGGGAGCCAAGGCCAAGGGGCTTAGGGCAGGACAGCGTTTCTGGTCAGGCCTGTGTGGCAGGTCTATGGCCTCCGTCCAGCATGGCTGGCATGGTGCTGCCGTGTCCCCCTCGAGCCTACTCTTCACCGTCATTTCTCAAACATGCTTTGTTGACCTGGACTCTAGTTGCAAGGGACAGAACCAAGTTCAACCTTGCTTCAGCCAAAATGTGAATTCTCTGGTGCTTATCAGAGAAGTCTGTCTTTTAGTGCTGCAGGGCCCCAAGGCTTAATTGACCCACCAAGTCCTCTCCCACCCTCGCCCAGTGCTGACCACTGGACTCTCTACCCATTATTTCTTTTCTTTGTAGAGAGAACCACGGGCATCATCAGATTTCACTTAAGACCCCCTGGGTTAGCCATGCCCGTGGGGGTGGGACTCTGTCACTCTGTCAGCCCCGGGGAGTCACTGACTGCTGACCTAGCCGGCCTGGGGAAGGCACTGATTAATGCTGGGTGGGTCGTGGTTCATCCCTGGCCCTGTCCCAGTGCTGAGGCCTGGAGGTGCTGGACTGTCCCATGTTGACGAGGGGGCTGTCCAAGGGAAACCTGCAGAGGAGAGGGGGTCTGGGCTGCAGAACCCCATAGCTCCATGAGCTCCCGGGAGCTTAGCCCATTCTGCCAGCTTCTTTCTGGAACATTCTTCCCTTGGCCGTTAGGAGAATTCCCTAGCTCCTCAGAGTGCTTCCTTGGATGGCTCCCCCTCATGCCCTAAACTTTCTGGCTCCATCTGTTCCTCAGGACCTGTGTGTGGTGTGCACCTCGGGGCACGTAGCTCTGCTTGCGATACTCCACACAGGGCAGGCATGTGTGCTCACACGTGTGCTGTGCCCTGAGGCTAGGACAGCCTTGGTCATGTGCGGGCTGTGCCCTGTGCCATGCCCCCATGGCCAGCTGGCTTCCGCTTTGCAGCATCCCTGTAAAATCACATGGGTCAGCGGCCACTCGGAAGTCAAGGTCCCTTCTCATGTCTGTCCAGCACCCACTCCATGGTTTGCCCACATCCCTGAAGCCAGGCACAGGCACCCTCGTTCAACAGGTGAGGGCGGAATGTCGAAGGCTGGAAACCCGCCGAGTGCCAAGCTGTGCCCCTCAGGGGACAGGCAGCTTGAGTGGTGCCATCTGGGTGGGACAAGATTGATGAGAGGTGAAGTGAGTGAACAGGAAGGTACGTCAGACGGTGATTGATGGCCTTGAGAGACCTATGGCAGGAAGGCCATGCCAAGAGGACAGCCCGACAGGAGGGCATCTGGGATGACCCGGAGGGGGCCGTGTGGGGCTCTGCAAGGATTCTGTTGTTTATTACCAAGTCCACGTGCTACCCAGTGACATTTCCAAAATCCGCCAAGTGAAGCAGCCAGGCGCAGAGACGAGTCCTGTGGGCCTCATTCCACGGGGACTCTCAGGAAGCCAGCTCATCTCAGCAGAGTGCGGGTGGAGGAAGGGATGGGAGGGGACGGGGTGAGGGCCAAAGGGTGCCACGTCCCAGCTGGAGGAACAAGCTCCAGCCCCCCCCCCCCCCCCCCGCCCCTGGGGCTGCGTGTGACCATGGTCCTTCCCAATGTCTCGCATACTTCAAAATTACTAAGAGAATGAACTTTAACCTTCTTCCCACAAAAATGACAGGTGATGGACATGTTAATTGGCTTGATTTAATCTTTCCACATGTTGACAGATCAAAACTGACAGCACCTCACAGGCCCGGTTCAAGCTCGTAGGTCGGTGAGAAAGGAGTGAAAAACCACACCCATAGATATGCACAGTTTTTATGTCAGTGAAACAGTAATGAGCCTTTTAAAATTACCATGCTGCTGAGGAGAGAGCCGGGCTCCAGTCCCAACTGAGCATGAGAACAGAGACAGGCGGGCGCAGAGGTGGGCGCGAGCCTGCAGCTTGGCGTCAGGGTTGGGAGGCCCCGCGTGAGGCCACGCCTGTGCGCCAGCTGCTCAGGCTGAGGCAGGAGCACCCACAGCTTATTGAGGCCCCGTAAATTAAGGACTGGGGTGTGGCTCTGCAGTGGAGCACTGCCCAGCACGTGCAAGGCCTGGCTCCATCCCCATGGCTGCAAAATGTGAAAGACAAAGGAAGACCATGTCCCGACCCCCCAGCGGGCAGGTCCTGCTGCATTCGCTGCCATTGAACTGGGGCTACCTGCTCTCTGGGGGCAACTTTGTGAACAACAGAAACACCCTGGCTTTGCTTAGTCTGAGAAAGATCCCTGTGTTCAGAGGGCTGAGCACAACCTGCCACGGGGCAGGGGCTACAGGGCCTGGGGGCTGATGGGGCAGCGGGCATGGGGGCCTTCATGCCTGCTGAAGTGTCCCTGAAGCTACCTGCCTGCACCAGAATAAGTCTGCTGCCGCCCAGGGGTCCGTTGGTGCCAAGAGGAGGGGAGCGTGGTCAGTTACCTGGAACCTGATCGAGGAGGTGGGGAGCTCGGGGAGTCAGGTGCTGGCACAAGTTAAACTCACCGTACATTTGGATACCCCTGGGCTCCTGCCCCGTGGAGCCTGGAAGTGAAGTTCTTGTCCTCTTTAGGAAGCATGCTGGACTCAGGACTCCTATTTCCCTTTTAAAGTCAAGATGGCTGAGATTGTGATGATATCCAACGTGTTTATTGGCTGTTATCTCTGACTTTCTGACAATAATCATGGTGGCATCGACTGAGTGCTGCGGCCCTTACCCACTGCTTCCAGAGCCTTGCTCTTCAGCCCTGTTTCTCTGGGGTGCCCGTGGAGCAGCAGTGTCCCCTCTGTTGTGCAGATGAGGGACTTCAGGGAGAGAGACAGAGATTTGCCCAGGAGCTCAGTGGGGAGGTGCAGAGAGCTGTCACAGGTGCTGTGGGGGGGGCGAGGGGGATGGCGCCTGCTCCTTGGGAAGGGGCCCTGGTGGGTGGCTCTCCCTCCATTCTTAGCGTCAGCTCCCAGGGCTCCACAGGGGGCCCTGCAGGTGTGAAGGTCCAGGTGCAACTGGAGCTCACTACTGTTTGGCTGTGAGGGCGCCGTAGTGTGTGTGTACACGCAGACACACCCACACCCACACCACGAACACTGATATCTATACACAGCCCCCCGTATGCCCACCCCACACCCACACCCCGTCTGCGTCGGGTCCGGGGTCCTGAGTCTGCTCCCAAGGCTCCTAACAGGCTGGTGTTAGGACCCAGGAAGGACGTAGCAGGGCGGGATATAAATAGAGAGAGGAGGACAGTTTGAGGAGAGCTGACCTCACTCCCTCTCCACCCAAGAGCGGCTGGCGGAGGTGTGGAGCCAGACCAGAGGGAGGCCGCGGGCGGGCGGGACGCTGGGAGCAGCTGGAGCTCCAGGGCGCGCAGCTGGGAAGCCTCCTTGCTCCGCCATTCTGGGCAGGAGAGGGACACGCAGCTCCAGCTGGACAGAGAGGGGACTTGGGACTGCCACCTGGCCTGGGTTCCTCTTGCATTCCACGTGGCTCTGGACGCCCGGGCTCCTGGATCACCGAAGGAGCTCCAGTTCTGAGACAGGAGAGAAACCCCGCGTGCTTCCAGAACCTGTGTCACAGACTTTGAGGAAACAGATTTTTCTGGCCCCGAACCTGAAAAGATGTCCCTCTCCCAAGGAGCCAGAAGGTAGAGGACACACTCTTCCACCCTCAGGAGTTCCGCTCGGATCCCCTGCAGCCTCTGAGAGCCATGAGGCAGCCGCGGCCCCTCTGTTGCGGGCCCCTCTGGCTGCTCCTCACCTGCTGCAGTGCTCAGGTAATGTGCCTGGTCGGGAGGGACGCTGGAGTTCTGCGTGAGGTTCCCCGCATCTCACGATGTGGTCTTCCCTGTGCAGGTGCGAGGAGCCCACGGCAGGTCGCAGGACCATCCAGGTAAGAGACCCATCCCCTGCTCCAGTGGGGCCTTCCCTCCTTCCCAGTTGGGTGCTGCCCAATGACTGGCTTCACTCCGAGGCCACCAGTGATGGCCCTTCTTGGGCTCCTCTGCCCCGACGCCCCTACCCCACAGCCCCGCCGGCCTCGTCTGTGTCAGTGTCCTGGGCCGTGGGTGGGGAAGCGGCTCTGTCCCCACTGGGCTGGGTCAGAAGGGCTCTTGTGATCCAGGAGACCTCAGGCTGAGCTCTGTCTCAGTTCGCATCAGGTGCTGGTGACATGAGGCCCCCAGAACAGCAAGCCCTGGAGCCCCCAGCCCCTTGGTGTGCCCAGTCTTGGACGTGGGACCTGCTCACCAGAGTGGCCTGTCTTTGGCCATGTGATTCCCCAGTCTGGAGGTTGAGGGTGAGGTTGCCCAGGAGGACAGAGGAGCAGCATGGGCACTGCTCGGCCAGCTCTCGGCCAGCGGGCCTGGCATTCCCTGCGCTCCCGTGCCTCTGGGTGGCAGTCGGGGCGTCGGGGACCTGCGAGTGACCCTTTGCCAGGAAATGCTGACTCAGGCTGACAGCATGGGGTTCCCGGCCGCCCCGTGGCGAGCAGTCCTGCCCTCATTCTGGGGAGCCCGCCCAGATCCACAGCCAGGTCCCCCAGGGCCCCTCACAGGAAGCCCTGAGAAGTGGGGCCCACTTGGCTGTCTTCCCCCATGGGTTGTGATGCTGCCAGGCCATCGGTCCTTGTCACCACCTCCCTTCACCCACGCTGGGGTAGAGACTGCCCTCTCTCCGCTCCATGCTCCTGGAGTCCTCTGTAAGAAGGTGCTGAAGCTGCGCCCCTCCCTGGGCCAAACACTAAAGCCAAGAAGCAGAGCCTGTGGCCTGGGCACAGGGGACAGGTCAGCGTTGTGTTGGTGGAGGCTGTTGGGCCAGACCTTGCTCCCACTGAGGCTGGGATAGGAGATGGAGAGAGGGCAGCTGAACAGGTGTCCTGGCCAGGGAGTGCCGCTGAGGAGGTGGCCCTGGGCCAGCCCTTCCCAGATGGTGGCCTCTGACAGAGTGTCCTCACGGCTCGCTTTCTGGACCCTGAACTCCAGGGAGCTGTTGGAATCCGTCAGTCTTTCCCTCCATATAGAAACGTCGCTCCTGCCCATCCTGACTTAGTGTAGCCGAGGCCCTTTCTTCTCCAGCCGGCCACCTAAGGAAAGCAGCTGTGCCTGCAGCCATCGAGGGCCACTGAGACGCAGAGTCCTGCCGTCTGGCCCCCGCCGTCTGGCCCCTGCTGTCTCACCTTGCTTTGGCCTACCCTTCCTCCTCCTCTGGCCACTCCCTTGTCCCTCTCCTCATCACAGCCCTGCACTTTCTCTTCCTTTCTGCATTTCAGGCTCTGCTTACCCCTTCCCATGGGCAGGCCCTTAGTGGCCCCGGGGCACTGTGTTCCTGTGGCCCCAGAGCCCTGGGGTGCTGCACCCTGGCTGTCCCCTCAGGGTGCCCACTGAGTGACAGCTGCCCTGGGGTCCCTCAGAAAGAGCGAGACCTGCTCTCAGTGTTGGTGAGGAGGGCATCACCCTCGGCAGCAGCAGGCAGTGCGAGGGGCCACCGCCAATGCCAGTCAGCCAGGCAAGGCCCACAGCAGCCAACCAGGGGCGTCCACACTCCTGAGCTCCAGTGGAGCCGTGTATCCTGCCGACAGCACACGCTCCAGCCACAGAGCCGGTCCTCTGTGGGCCTAACTAGGGGCTCAGGGCTGTGAGGGAGCTGGGGGTGCCATGCCAGAGATGGCCGAGGGCAGTTGGGAGACGTGGGAAGGTAGGCAGGTTCAGGGGCCCGGGAGTTGAGGGCAGCCTGATGCACGGCTAGGACACTGGTCACCACCAGGCCCTCTTTTTGGGGAGGCCTCCGAGGCCACCAAGCTTTCCCTCGCTGGTCCTACCCCAGCACCAGTCCTCCTGCCCAGAAGGTGCTTGATGGATATTTTCCCACCTATCTGTGCGCCACCCTGGAGGACTGGCTGCGCTCTGGCAGAACAAGTGAACGTGCTAGCCCACCCGCGTGCCTTCAGCCCCCAGGGGCTTGTACCTGTTTGTCTGTCTATATTGGCAGATGTTGGTGCTGTCTACACTGGCCCTGGTGCCCCGATGCCTGCTGGGCAGAGAGGGAGTTAGCTTTACAGACAACACCAGGTCAATGTGAGCTTTTGCAGTGACCGTCACTCACGGCCAGATCGTCATCTTAGAGAATTGTACAAGGTTGGAAGCGACACCCAAGTCTGCTCAGCCCACCCCCCATTTCATAGGGAAACCAGGAACAGAAGGGAGACCCAGAAGGGAGCAGGAGCTGTCAGGGCCAGGACCCTCAGCCCACCTGAGACCTCTCCCAGGGACCCAGGCTCCACATGCGGCCTGCTCCCAGGCCAACCTACGAAGCCAGGAGGGCTGATTAGTGCAAACCCATAAATGGCCTCAGCCAGAGACAGCAGCCACTTTGCAAAAGTTTATAAACATGCCCTTTTATAGACACATTTGTACGAGGAAAAGACCCGGTCGTTGCTGATCCTGGGGTCCCAGGAGCGGCACAGTCCAGCCTGTTCCCAGGAAGATGGAGACTCGAGATGATTGCAGTCATTATGATTCTGTGTATTTACACAGCATGTAGCTCAGAGAGAACGGCCTAGCTGCTAGGCCACGGCAGCACCACATTCTTCATCTTCCTGGAGAAAGGGAAATGTGTTCGTGATGGAGCCTTTAAAACTAGTGCCTACGGCCTGTTGAACAAATGGAAATTTGGCAGAGACAGATTTGCAGGGGAGCAGGATCATGCAATGTCAACGCTCTGTTGTCCAAGTGTGGCTCATCCTGGCCCTTTGGTTCTACCTGTTAGTTACCTTTTAAATCCCTACATTAAAAACGTGGGAGATTTCAAAAACAAAACCCCGAAGCCCCCACCCACATGCACACATGCACACACACACGCACGAACACACACATGCATGTGCACACACATGCACATGAGCACACATGCACATGTGCACACATACACGTGCACACACATGTACGTGCACACACACATGTACGTGCACACAAATGCGCGTGCACACATATGCACACGAGCACACACACACACACATGCACACACACGAGCACACATGCCTAAGCCCTGCTTCACCAGGGGCTGCCACCCACCAAGGAGAGCAGAGTCCGGCATAGAGGCAGGTGTGGACACATGACCAGAACTTCCCAGTAACCCCAACACCTCCGGAAACAGTAAGGAGCAGGGACCTGCACACGGCGGTGTCCGGGAGGCCAGGGAGGCCATTCAAGTGCAGCGTCCTGTGTGCTGAGCATCCTGTGTCCAGGATTAGAAGGAGGCATTGGTGCAGAATGCGGGAGACGATGCCCCAGGCCAGGGGACAGCAGGCAGAATCCCGCAGGGAATGAGTGAAGATGTAGCCCAGGGGCCAGCAGTGAGGGACAGGGCTGGCTTCCCCCAAGTGGGCAGGTCTCCTGAAGCAGCCCAAGGGTCGGGGGCTCCCTGGACTGATGGTAGCACTGGCGGCACTGGAAGGTGGGGTGGCCCTGACTCTGTGAGGGGCTCGCCCATGGTCAGCGGGCCACTAGGCCTGACTCCGAAGGGCCCAGGTATCACTGGGAGATGAGCACTGAAGATCCCTGTCCCGTGCGCCCCCCCCCCCCCCCCCCCCGTTTCTCCTGTCCCCTCCTCCCTGCTTCCCGCTGTCCCTCTCCCCCTCTCCCTCTCCTCCCTCCCTGCTTCCTCCTCCTTCCCCTGCCCCCCTTCTTCTTGTTCTCTGTCCCTTCATTTTTCAGGGCTGGGACTGTCTGAAGTCCCCGTGAGAGCAGGCGCCGCCCGGTGAGAACAGAGCGCCCTGTGCCCGGCCCTGCGTCCTCTCGTCACCCTCATCCTGGAAAAGAGCCACAGGCTTTTCTACCAAGAACGGATTTTCTGGTTTTTACAAAACTTTTAGGGCTACAAGTGACTTTAGGGTGTACAGGGACCCTCTGGGCTGGAGCTAGTCTACCCCGTTAGCACCTCATGACTTCAATTTAAAAAGCTGCCAACACTGAAGATCTGGGAGGTTCCAAACTTAAAAGATCTGGATCCCTGAGCGCCCTCGATACACAGGGTCCTGGAGATTCTGGGCAGACCTTCCTGCTGAGCAGGTCAACCAGCCTGGGCTGGCCACCTTCAGTGGACAGGGCACGCTTACTGCCTGGCCACAGCTCTGCTGCCCGAGCTCAACCAGGGACATGTGTGCTATCGGCAAGCATCGCACCTGTGTCCCCCAAGGTACTGCTCAGGACTGGCCAGCAGGTGGCTGTCCCTAGCACTTGCTTCCTATCTATGGGCTAACTCAGCAGTAGTCTCTGGGTCTCGTGGCAGCAGGAGCTTGGCTCTGGGCTGCTTGTCAGCAGAGACAGTGGGTAGCCTTCACTCCTGGCCATCATGGGCACTGCTGGGTCCAGGTGACACCACTTCCCTCCTCACCTTTCTGCCCAGAGCCACTGTGGCCCTTTGTGAATGGGGACAGAAGAGCGACCTGCAGGTGGATTCTGATGGCCACGTCTTTATAGAACATGTTACCTTATTTCTGGTTTTATCCCAGGTGATTGAATAACTAGCCAATGAGGATTTCCCGTCTCCAGAGTGACAATCTTGGGTCTTAGGGGTTCACGATGGAGGACGAGAACGGATGCTTCTGGGTGTTGCCTTTCTGGGTCTCCATGTGCCTGTGGGCAGCAGGGGGCAGCACTGCTTCCCCTGCACCTGGTCGGGCTGTGCCCATCTGTTCTCCACCTGCTAGGGAACCGACTCCGTCCTTGTCTTATGTGTGGGGCTTGTGCACACTGGAGGGACAGATGCAAATGACGAACGCAGGCAGCGACCTCACGCGAGCAGGCGTGGGTCACCCTGTGGGTGGATCCAGGTCCTAGGAGGAGGCTCCAACCTTCCTCTGCACTGTGGCCTGCTGCTGCCCAGGGCCACTTCAACAGTGCAGTGGATATCAAGTGTGTTTTAAAGGTACACAGGACCTAAATTCAGAGGACAATAGTCAATGCAATAAGAATCTCCTTGCATGTGACACCCCGTTTCTCAGTTTCCTTATCCCCTCAATCCTGGTTTCAGTTTCCATGCAAGTGCCTCTCTCTCTTCCTCTCCCTCCCTGTCCTGAACACATGCATATCACAGTTACCTGTAGCTTTCCTCACTTGAGTTTTTAAGTTAAATTTATTTGAATGGTACATAAAAACATGACAGTTGTAGTAGCGAAGGAGTACGATGTTGAGTGCCAACACGCACACAGTGGACAACGGTCTCCCCAAATGTTCATCGCTTCCTGTGGTGAGAGCATTCAGGTCCTTTCTGAAGCTCCTTGAGACACGTGGTGCTTGGTGCCGTCGAGAGCCCCGAGGCGCACAGTGGCACTCGGGGACTTCTGCTCCTATCTGCCCACGATGATGCCGTATCTTCTTAACTTACAGTGTCAAGAGTGGTCCATGCACCTCAGCCTCAGCGGCATCCATCATTGCATGGATGTCCCTCGATTATTTAGCCAGCTTGTGGGTGAGCGCTGAGGCTGTGGTCAGGCTTTTGACCCTGTAAGAAATTCCACAAGGAACACCCTTGCACATGGGTCTTGGATCATGAGTACATGCGTCTCTAGGATGAATCAGCGCACTAAGGAACCGTGCGCTTGGGGTCTGTGTGGACGGTGCCAGATGGCCCTCCAGATAGGCAGCTCTGACTGCACCCCTGACACAGGGGATGTGCTGCTCAGTCCCCTCCCCCTCTTTTCTCTCCGGTCCAGTTCTGGCACACGTCTCGATGTGGTTTGACACTTTTAAAGCTATTCGCATCTTCTTCTTTGAATTGCCTAATTATGTTTGATGCCCAGATATTCTGTTGATTTGCTTTCCTTAACAGCAGGAGTGTTTGCTGATTTGCTTGTGGTGCCGGGATGGAACCCAGGGCCCTGCACTCTACCCCCGAGCCACAGCCCTCATTTGTAGGAGTTTTATTAGCATAATGAGTTTAACACATATAAAAATAAATCAGCATGTTTCTGTCATGAATTATATAAACCTTGTCCCCAGTTGGATCTAGTTCGATTTTTTTTTTCTGCACAGAAATTTAAAAAATTAATGCAGTCAAATTTATAAGTCTGGAAAGCTTTCTATATCTGGTTTTATTGCACTTTAGTCTGATTCATCTAGGTTGCCTGGGTGCACGGAGTGGGGGAGGCTATTGACTCTTTCCAAATGGCTAACTGCTTCCAACTCCTTTTGTGGAATGAGATTTCTCCCAATTTAAAGCACCAGCTTTATCCTAATCAGTGCCACCTGTGCCGGGAGCTCAGTGGCCCCTCCTTCCACTGAAAGGCAGACTATGGCAGACACCACTCTGCTGTGGCGCCTGTCCTCTGCTGTCCCTGTCCAGTCCTGGGTATTCTGCTTACTTATTTGCTTATTTATTGTGTGGTGCTGGGATGGAGCCCAGGGCCCCACACATGCCAGGCAAGGGCTCCCCACTGAGCTGCACCCCAGCCCTTTTTCACTTTTGCTTTGAGACAGGGTCTTGCTAAGCCATGGAGGCTGGCCTGGAACTTGTAATCCTCCTGCCTCAGCCTCCGGAGTAGCTGGGATCACAGGCGTGGCCACTGTGCTTGCCTTGTTCTTATTTATTTTTTAAAAAATATGAGTTCCATAATCAAATTTCCCCTCACAAGAGAGCTCTCAGCACTTTCCCAGTATTTATAGATTAATTAAAGGGCAGCTGATATTTTTATGCTAATCAATCTGTTCTCCCCAGAGTAAGTCAGGCCTTCATTTGCTCAGGGCATCTTCATGAGAATCTTGTGTGATTTTAGTTCTTTTGTTCTAAAATGTTTTCTTTTTATTGGTTGCATTTAGAAATGAGAACTTCTATTTTTTTTTTTTTTGGCTATTGTTGAAATACAAAAAGCTATCAGCTTTGTACATTACATTTGAACGAAACTCCTTGCTCAATTCCTCAATGATTTGAAGTAGTTTTCCACCCTGATTATCAGGCATACTTCCCGTGACAGTGATGACCATTCTTTCCTCTTGGTGACGTTTCTTTGCAATGGAGAATATAAAGGGCACTCTATGTCAGTGGACGTCAAGGGTGCCTGCTATAGATGGTCATCTGGGCAGTAATTGCAAAGGACTAAAAGGATGTGCTCAGGGCTGCCCATGCTAGAGCCCACTGGAACAAAGATGGGACCCTGACTTCTTTTCAGCTGGAGAATGGTGGCCCATCTTGAGGGGATGTCACCTCGCTCCGTTATAACGGACAGGTGGAAAAGGATGACCAATTCCTTCACAGAGCCCTGAGAATAGACAATAATACATCCACATAAGGTCCTGCTGCTCACAGTACTGGTCTCAGAGAGGACATCTGGAGGAAGCAACCATAGGGGAAGGACCAGGCCTAGATGAAGAGAGGCCTGTGTGTGAGCACTGTGTGCTGGCCAGCACAGGTTGGAGCAAGAGGTTCCCCTAATAGGTGCAGAATGCGGTCATCCCACAGGTCATTGTTAGGATGAGATGAGGTGTTTGCCAGGCACCTCGAGGGGGTCCTCATAAACACAGGGTCCTCTAAGCTTGTTTTAAGCTTGTTTCCTTCTGTGGTCCAGCCGCATCAGATGCTATCTCTAAAGCCACGTTTGGTGACGGGATGATGGACATTCTCGCCTTTTTCCTGACGCCAATGGGCACGGTCCTGGCTTCCCACTGTCAAGCATGAGCCGAGGCTGCTGTTCCCATGGGTTAAGAGGCCTCCATCCATGTGGCCTGCTTTGTCCAGTTAAGGAGCCAGTCATCGGTTTCTAGTTGAGTTCTTGTCCCTCCAAGTAGTTGTGTTGAACTGTATCAAACGCCTCTTCAGCCACGGGCTGGCCACGGTCCTCCGTCTCCAGATCCTTCCTCGTCTCCAGGTCTTTCATTGTTTCAATGGTGATTTGAGATTTTGATTTCTTTTCCCCCAGGGTTTGCAGTCCTGGCTTCTGCTTCCCATTACTGGCCGTTGGAAACTGTGGATGGGATTCATGAACTTCAGGATACAACTGGAGGTAGACCTGGCCTGCGCGCCTGTAGGAGGGAGGGGTGGTGGAGGCGGGGCCCCTGGAGGACAGAGGAGAATGGAGGTGGATGGCATCTGCTTGGAGCCAGATGATGCCGGTGAACCAGCATTTGTGCAGCTTTCCTGAGGATCATTGCAAAATATTTCCCTAGAACGTCTGTATCTTCTTACGAGGGAAGGACAGAATCTGTGATTCAGAACATGACTGAGATGTGCATTTACTCAAGACCTTATTGCAGGATTTCCTCGGCCGATCCTCCTGAGTGTGAGGCCAGTACGTATTTGCAGTGCAGGTGGCATCAAGGCGTCAAGGTCTGGGCCACCCACAATGGGCTCACAGGTTGGGGGGCACTGTTTCACCAGGCAAAGCTGTCCTGTCTACAGCCATGTCGTCACATACCCCAGTCAGTTCCCACGGAGATTAAATGTCACCTAGGACATGTCTAACGGTGGAGAGTGTCAGGGTCTCTGGTTCACAGCTCGGACATCTGTTAGCAGGAAGAAACTGAGCTATCCCTGAGCACTTTCCCCATTCCAGTGAGAATTCCTCCTTAAGGCCCAAGTGTGAACAGCCAGAGGTAGCGTTCAGTTCACCTTGGTCTACTCATTGTTGGAGAGTCCACTGCGTGGCTGACGCACATGGCAAAGGCTGGCTATATGCCCCGGCTCGGGCTCTAGCCATGTCCTGGCCAGTCCTGAATCCCCACGTGGCTGGCTGGCTGCCTCCTGCACCAGCACACAGTGATCTCCTCGTCCTTGTGACACTTGTGCTATGGAAGTCGCTGCTTAGAGTCCTAAAATGCTTCCTCAAAACCTGCCTGTTGAGTGGCAGCAGAGCCAGTGTCTGCCCCCGGGCAAGGTCGAGGAGAGGGGCCGTGAAGGGCGTGTGGCTGTGCAGGCCCTGTCCCCAGCCTGGCTGCCCCCCCACCCCCCCCCCCCCCCCCCCCCCCCCCCCCCCCGCGATGGTCTGCACGGCAGGGACAGAGGGTCCCTGTGCAGGGGTGAGCCCAGGCCTCAGAGTGAAACAGCCACCTTCCCTGGTTTCCCTGGTAGAATGTGCTTTTCCCAGGGCCTTTTTTTTCAAGCTTTCGAAAAGCAGTCATCTCACTGAGTGGAAATGGCTCATTGTTCAGGACCCAACCACTAAAATTTCAGCAGTCATTTCAAACAAGAGCCTGAATAACCATGCATACATCTCTGTCCTGGTCCCTGAGCTCATTGCTGTAGGTTCAGTGTTCCTGGCTTTGCACACCTTGCCTGTGAACACCCTCCTCGGGCAGCGGCCGTCACTCAGACGTGAGTGATGTGGGGCCGGGTTCTGCTCCCTGGCGTGTCCACTCCGACAGCACCTGCCCAGCCCTGGAGTGCATGGTCACAGCACGCCCGCCCCTCCCCGCCGGCCCGCTTTGTGTGACCCTGCTGTCGCCAGGCCCCCAAGGGACAGGAGGGGGAACAGGCACCCTCGACACCTCGTTGTGGGGACACCACCCACTGTGACGTCTCAGGGACGAGCCGCTTGGCTGTTTGTGGCCGACCCCTGTCTGTGCCTTTGTCACTGTCTCACGTGGCTGTGTCCATGCCGTGTCCCCTGGTCCTGTGCCATTGTGACTGTCAGTGCTCCCTTCATCAGTGGCGACGTTCACTCTCATATCTCTCAACCACGTCCCCTTTGGGGCGAGGAACCAGCCCCTGGGGCCCTCAGGGGTCCTGGCTGGGGGCTCTGCGGTACCAGGCAGGGGCTGGGGGAGGGTGGCTGGCGTTGAGAGATATGTGGTCCCTTGTTCCTTGTCTCACTTATCTGTTGTCTTTCTCTTTTGTCGCCCGCCCAGCGCTGCAAGCCCACAACCTCACTGTGCTCCCTCCCCACAATTCCACCCTTGTGTTTGCCAATGACTCTGCCTACTCCAATCTCTCTGCGACCGTAGGTGAGCAGTGTCCGCTTCCTCCCAGGCTTTGATCTACAGTGAGTTCAAGGCCCATCCCCTCAATCTGCCGGACTCGGCTCTTGGCCAGCAAAGGAGCAGCTAGCCGAGTACAGACTGAGACGGAGCCAGGTGATAGCCAGGTGTTACAGGTGTTGCCAGGTGTGAGCCAGGAGTCATCCAGGTGTTGCCAGGTGTGAGCCAGGGTTAGCCAGGTGTTACCAGGTGTTAGCCAGGAGTGAGCCAGGTGTGAGCTAGGGGTTAGCAGGTATGAGCCAGGGGTTAGCCAGGTGTGAGCCAGGTATGAGACAGGTGTGAGCCAGGTGTGAGCCAGGTATGAGCCAGGTGTGAGCCAGGTATGAGCCAGGGGTTAGCAGGTATGAGCCAGGTATGAGCCAGGTGTGAGCCAGGGGTTAGCCAGGTGTTACCAGATGTTAGCTTGGTGTGAGCTAGGAGTTACCAGGTGTTACCAGGTGATAACCAGGCGTTACCATGGGTTAGCCAGGTGTGAGCCAGGTATTAGCCAGGAGTTATCCAGGTGTGAGCCAGGTATGAGCCAGGGGTTAGCCAGGTGTGAGCCAGGGGTTAGCCAGGTGTTACCAGGTGATAGCCAGGTGTGAGCCAGGTGTGAGCCAGATATGAGCCAGGTGTGAGCCTGGTATAAGCCAGGGGTGAGCCAGGTATGAGTCAGGGGTTAGCCAGGTATTACCAGGTATGAGCCAGGTGTGAGCCAGGGGTGAGCCAGGGGCCAGTAAGACCAGCGGGGTTGGGTCTGAGGGAGGAGCCCTGGTGTCTGGAAGGTGACCACAGCGTCATGCTCTCCAGTTCGCTGTTTGTCTCAGAACAAAACAAATGATATGTTTTCTAAACACAGAAATAGGGTTTTCAAATGGATCGTAATTTGGGGGGAGAAAAAATCATGCTCTCTTCATGGAAAATTAAAGCTAGTTTGAGAACTCCTCATCCCAAATTTGATCTCCTACCAACCTTAAGTTCAGTGACCTGAAGTCATGGGGAGCCGCTCAGATACCCCGAGGGCCACGATTCAGTCCCTGTCTCATCTAACAACCTCCAGGGCCACACGTTCGTGTTTTCCCCACACAGCTCACAGTGAGAGGGACAGAGAGTGGCATTGCTTGGTGGCTGAGGGCAGGGAGGGCCTCGCCTTGATCTCTTTTGACACTTCACCTGATTTGGGGTGGTTGGCCTCCAAAATTAATTTTGCCAAGCAAACAGCCTGGTCAGGGCTTTATATGGCCCAACTTGGTTGGGCAGCTGCGAGTTGTCCAGCACATGGGGTAAGACACAGCTCTCCCCTGGCAATAAATGGGAGAAGACAAATAATGAGTGAGTCTAAAGGCAGAAAAGACAGCTCTGAGCCAGAGGAGTTCTCGTGATGGTGGCTGTTGGAGAGCTGGCCCGGGCCAGGTCAATCAGGATGGCCTGTGCTCCAGGTGCACCGGAAACATACTTTCTCCTGCCTCCTACATGGGGAGGGGGGCCTGAGTACTGACCCCTGCCCACAGGTGCCCGTGGCCCTGGGTGTTTATAATCATCACCCATTGGCTCCGTAGGCCACTTACGGCATCAGACACCTTCATTATGGGAGCCATGAAGCAGGTGTCTGGGTAGAGAAGTGCCTCTGTGGGATTTGTGCCCCCTGGGACTGTGCAGATGTCACCCTGGTGTCCCCTGGAGCATGGCCCCACAAGCTGTGACTTCACACATGTGGGACTAGGGCTCAGTGGTAGCTTCACAGACCTGTTAGGAACATGCTTCACTGGGGAGTCAGTGCAGGTGGGTGGGGGGGGCCTGCGGAGCATGCGGGTGCCATTGGTGCTTGGGGACGGGGACCACCACCCTCTCGCTCTGGTGGCCCAACATTGGCAAATGGTATAGGTACATTATCATGACGCTGTAATAAATAGGAGATGCCAACATAACACAATTTCATAGGATGCAGTGACTTATTACCTAACATTTAGACTTATAAATTATTCATCGTTTAATTACTAATAATTAAATATTAACAATGTTATTAGCACCCTAGAACAATGTGGGATGCTGGGTGTGTGTATTGTGATGGTGGATATGGTGTGCATGTGTGGTGCTACCTGCAACCCCTGGGGCGTCCTCAGACTTCCAGGCTCCAGGCTGGCTCATGTGTGATGCTGTCCCTCTTGTTCCTTAGACATTGTGGAGGGGAAGGTCAACAAAGGCATTTACCTCAAGGAGGAGAGAGGCATGACGCTGCTCTACTATGGCAGGCTCCGGACCTCCTGCATCAGCAGCCCTGCCCAGTGCGGCCCTGAGGGTGAGTGCCAGGCCTCTGGGTGTCGGTTTCTCCACGGGGCAGCACCTGCCCCTCTGGCCAGGACTGCAAAGGCCCACTAACTGCAGAATACGTGGAACTGCAAAGTGAGCTGGGGCGTGGGGGACGTGGGCAACTTGCGTCCTGACTGGAGGCTGGTGCTGGAGGGTCCAGTTCGGGCTTAGAGAGCTGCGAGACCAAAGTGCCTAGCCTTGTAGAGGGGAAAGGAGTCCTCCCTGAGACACAGGCCCCGACGTCACGCGCTGTGGTGTCTGTGGGCAGGAAATAGACGGCGTGGCCACCGCAGCGTTATTTCTGGCTCTGGTCATGTGGGTGACAGGCCGGGCGGGGCGTGCCTGTTAACCCTCGCGCAGGTTTGCCTCTGTCAGGCCCAGGGAGGGTGGCGGGAAGCTGGATGGGACTGTCCCAGCCCGTGATTGCAGGCCTGTGCCCGCAGCAAGTCCACGTGTGCAAGAGGGAAACGAGGGCCCTTCCTGCCTGCTTCTCCCTGCAGCCTGCGCGTGCAGCCTGACTCCACACGGCCGCACTGGGCCGCACGGGAACACTCAGGGACTGCCATCTGCTGTCGTCCAGCCAGCTGGGGACCTTCAGGGTTTTCTTCCTTGAAGCAAAAGGAAAACGTCCATTTCTGGGGGGAAAGTTGACGCAGCCTCTGTGAGGCTCTGAGACTTGGGGGCAGACGGCCTCAGGCGACAGGTCGCTGTGCTGGTTCTGGGAGACCATGCAATTCCCTAAAAATAAGCAAGTGCTGTACGAGCCACAGACATGAGGCAGCGGCGTTTTGGGCTTTGGGGACCTGGGATTGTATGGAGCAGCTCTGAGGTCGGCCACTCAGCTGGGCGCACAGACAGTATGAGCTGGTCCTAAGTCAGACCTCAAAACACACCAGGCTGTTTGTCTCTCCAAACCCCAAACAAACCCAGGCCCAGTGACAGCAGCTGGCAGCCAGGAGAACAGAGTGTCCCTGCCCCAGGCTTGGGAGGCGAGGTCTGTGAGGCCGCATCTGGCTTTCCAGGGAGCAGCTTCTATGGGGAAGGAGCCTCTCCGCAGATTGGGCTGCAGCATGGGACTTGCTCTGGATTGGGGCTGAAAGGGCTGGGCCCAGGTGTCTTGTGACTGACACCATCCCAGGTACCCACTGGATGGGAGATGGTGGCACCGAGGGAAGGGTGGCTTTTGGAAATCAGAGTCCTGACAAGTTCCCCAACTCCAAGGCCAAGAACTAGAGGCCTTGGAGTGAACTTTGCCCTAGGTCCATGCACAGCTTGTCAGACGCAGGGTTAAAATTTTAATTAGCTGCCGACATTGAAAAAAAGGAGACTTTTACCAGGCTCGGCACGCCTGCAATCCCAGCTACTTGGGAGGCTGAGGCAGGAGATCAAAAGTTTAAGGCCAGCCTCAGCAACTTGCCAAGACTCTAAAAAATAAACAACCAAAACAACGATGAAACAAAACAAAACAAAACAACCCCAGAACAAATAGAAAATGTCAAGGATTTCTGATTTTCTTGAGAAATTGCTTTATGTTGTGCCTCTGTCTCTAGACCACCATGGCCCCCTCCAGGCCACCGTCCTCAGCTTCCTGCGTGTGACCTCAGCCGGGTTGGCAGGTTGGTATGTCCAGGGCTCCTGTCCAGGGCTGATCCTTTCTATGGTGGCCTGGGCAGCCACACAGCTTTGAGTGGACCTCTTTATCAGTAAACAGGTCAATGAGCTTCACCCCGTGTGCCTCCCATGTGCCTCCCATGGTGTGTGAAGACCAAGGGACAGACCGTGGCACCGGAGGCCAGCCGTGGAGGGGCTGCTGGGGTCTGCAGCCCTCTGGTGGTGGCTCCAGCTTCTTTCTGCAGCAGGGTCTCTCCCCAACAGGATGGCCGTCTTCCTGCCTTGGGGTCCCTCTGCCTCGGGCGGCCGTGGTTGGACTCCCCTGGCCCTGGCCCACCTGGAGCCTCAGGATGCACCATCCTGGTCACCCACACTTGGCTCTCGCTTGCTCAGCCCTGAAGAAGTGAGATGTCCAGAGCTGGAGTGAGGAAGAGCTGGGGCTTGCCTCGCGTCCTGCCCTGGGGACAGCCTCCTGCCCTGGGACCACCTGGAGCCCTGGGGGGTGTCCCTCACACGTGCACTTGACATCATGGCCAGACCCAGGAGGAAGCCAGGAAGCCTGAGGCAACTGTGTCTGGGACACGATACTGGCGAGATGGACGCTGGCCCTGGAGAGCTGGACTTTTCTCCCTGTGTCTGGATTTCGGCCTTGCAGAGCACCGGGTGCTGGGCCCACACAGGTTGCTGCACCCACACGGGGTGATGCATGCATTTCCCACTCACTGCTTTTGGTCAGGGGCTTTTCCTGGGTCCCAGGACCCAAACAAGGTCATCTGCCCAGCATTGTCCAAATCAAAGTCTCACAGTGGGAGGGGTGCGAGGTTGTGTCAGGGGACACTGGAACGTGACAACCGAGGGCTGTGCTCTATTTTAACACGATGTCTCATGGAGATGTGTTTCCACACGTCACTCAGGGTGAGATCATCAGGAGGGCAAACGTCCAGAGCAGGTTGATTTGATCGTATTTCATAATAATACGGGCAGTGTCTGGATGGCGGAGGTCGCACAGTTAGGACTCGGAAGACGTGGACGGGCCCTTGGGGATCTGTCCAGCCACCCCCTCCACACTTGGTGGGGGACATGGAGTGACAGCCCATTATTCTTATAATAAGACCAACGTTTAAGGAGCGAGGACCCCACCCCAGGCCACTTTGCCTTCCTCATTCCAGAGCCGGGTGTCCTTTCCGCTTGTATTTTCAGCTGATTTTTAAAAAGAATGTGTTGGGAGGGGGTGAGGCACGAGCTCTCCAGAGAGCGGCCATCTGAGGAGCCTGGCTGTTCCCTGCGTTCTCAGCGAGAGGACTTCCTTCCCTCTGCTCCCACCCACGCAGCTCCTCCAGCATCTGCTTCCTGCATCCTGTGAGCTGTGGGGGGTTTGCCTTTTGGCAAATGGGTTCCTCCGGGGGAGGCTTCATGGCCACCAGCTGCTAAGTAGAGGAGCCGTGGGGGCCTTGGAGAGAAAGGCCATGGGACACTGCTGACCCCAGGGATAGTCTATGTGCCTTCACACCAGGGTCTCCTTCCACCTGCTTCCCGGTGTGAACAGGGGCTAGAAGGCCCCTCCCTGGGTGGTCCTGGCAGACCCGTCACCCTCAGCAGGCCCGCCAGCTCCTGGCTCCCAGGCAGGGACCTGCTCCTGGCAGGTGCTCCTGTCCTGGGTGCCTGCAGTCCCTGGGCGTGTCCTCCCCAGGACTTGCAGTCCACAGGCCTGGTTGCTCAGGTCTCCCTTACATGGCCTTTGGCTCTGTGAGGACGGTGTCTCGGCCACCACTCCTCCGAGTGCCTGAACTCTGCACATCTACTGGACAGGTGCGTCCAGGCCGACCACCCTGCTGGTGCCTAGGTCTCTTCAGAGGCCTCCAGTCAGGTGTGCCGCTATGGGCCGTGGCTGCCACAGGGTCCCTTCCACAGGCAGCAACCTGGGGTGTCTATTGACGAGAAGTGGGTGGCCCTACTGCTCATGCCAGGCATCCCCGCCACAGTGAAAGGTCAAGTGACAGTGAAGACAGGCACCTCCCAGCACGGAAGGGTCCACCATAGAGCTGCTTCACTTGCTTGTTCCCGTCTCCGGGGGATCGACTGCTGTTGGTGATGGTGATGCTGTTTGACATGGAATAAACCACAACCTGGGTGATGGCCAGAGGAAGAGGAGGAGGAGGACCAAGAGGAAGAGGAGGAGGACCCACCTTGGACCCCTCTGACGTTGGAAAGCCGTTCCGGACACTGTGCCACATGCTATCTTGAGTGACTTCCACGTGGCCTTTGATCGGTTCAGCTTTGAGGGCTTCTGCTGCCTCCAGGAAGGCGTGTACCTGTGGGACCCCTCAGCTTTCCCTTCCTCCCTCCGTGAAGGTGTCCTGCTCTGTCCCCTGAAGATGCCCAGACCTTCCCCGGCTCTGACAGCACGGAGCGGTGGCTAGAGGACCTTCCTGCGCACTTCCCTCTCTTGGGCCTCAATGACTCTCTTCCCTTTGCGTGAGGTCATTTAAAAAGCTGTCAGCAAAATGCTGCCCTTGTTGCAGGGTGGAGACTGAGAATGGACTGGGGATTACCAGCCCCGCGTGGACTCAGCTGCTGTCCTTCTTGGGTCTCTGGTTCAGGGGACCATAGTGAAGGAAGTGGTCCTCAGAGAAGCTTTCATCCACTGTGCCCGCCTTAGAGATGGGGTAACTGGGCCCACGGCAGGGCCTTGGTGGCCTCTAGCCTCGATGTCTCTGGTGCTCCTGGGTTGGCCAGGAGGCTCCCGACCCTGCAGTCTCTGCTGCCCACACAGGCTGGCTGGGAGGAGCTGGCAGCTGGTCACTCCATGGCGGAGAGACTCAGCCCTGGGGCGCTGCTCATCTGCCTCTCTGTCCTGCATGGAGCCCACACTGGATGGAACCCCAGAGTCTGGAGGTTCCCTTTGCGTCACCTATGCACTTAACAAAGAGAGAAACTTGGATTTGATTCTAGGGAGCTTGGTCGACTAAGCCAGTCCAACTTCCCGAGAGGCACCATAACCCTGGGCGACCGGGCCAGACCCTAGGCCTTTCTGGCCCAGAACCATCTTTTGTTTCTTAAGGTGTTAAAAAAATTGTTTTCTGAGATAATTGTAAATCAATAAATGGTTGCAAAAAATAATGAGATCTCATGCGTCCTTCACCCATGTCCCTGGACGCCAGCATCTTGTATAACCACAGGACAAAACTAACAGCCCACTGACCTCATTCAGAACATACGAGCTTCACCTGCCCCTTTGAGGGTCTACAGGTCTTTGGAAGTGGCAGGCTCGGAATGATTTGGGTTTCTTAAAAATTTCAGAATTTGCTATTGCTTCTTTGTCCAAGGTTTCCGGCTTCTGAGCGCTCATGCATGATCGCACTCTCTCTCTCTGTTCTGGGGACTAACCTCTGGGTGCTCACCCACTAAGCCACATTCCCAGCCCTTTTTATTTTTTATTTTGAGACAACTTAGTGAGAACTAAGTTGCTCAGGGCCTTGCTAAGTTGCTGACGTCGGCTTTGGACTTGCCATCCTTCTGCCTCAGCCTCCTGAGCAGCTGGGATCACGTGGCCCTTCCACCCAGCCTGACTCAACAGTGTCTCTTTTGGCTATTTTGTCATGAGTCTCAAAACTCTGTGGGTACCAAGTGGACTTTGGTCTGTGCATTTCTGGCCAACCCTCTTGTCCATTCCTGACCGTCTCTCTGTAGTGCACGGAGCTCTCCGGGCACTAGCCCTCTGCCTGGGTCCTATGGCTTCTGCTGGGAGGCCAGGCTGGCAGCTAGGGGTCCTGTGACATTTGGCCACTGGTGGCCTCTGCCCCTTCATGCTAGGTTTGGACTGGTCACTCACATCCCACAGGCCGGGGCAAGGAGCACTCCACAGGCTCCCTAAGAGGTGAGTGGCTGAGCCTCCATGTCTACAGCAGTGGAGAGCCCTTCTCTGCCTGGACACTGTGGCAGGCTGACAGGCAGCCCTCCAAGAGGCCCAGGTGCTCATGCTCTCAAGCTGGGACTGGCTGTTTTGTTGGGAGGATGAAGAGTTGACACTTGTGGAGGTCATGGGGGAGCCAGCCAGCTGCTAGGAAGTGGTCCCCAGATTCTGGAAATCACACCTTGAACGTACAGCGCTGTGCACACGAGGAGGGAGCGGCCTTCTCGTCTGCTAGAAGCCACGTAGACCTGTCCCTGCACCATCGGCTATGTGGGGTACAAGTGGCAGATATTTCTGCCACCTGCCACATCTGATTCCTGGGTTTTGTTCACCATCCGTCTTGTTGAAGGCCTTTCCTTGGTGTCTGGACAGAGAGGCACCCAGGGCTCAGCAGTGTGGACTCCCCCTGTCAGCACCCTGCTCCTCTCTGGTGCCGTCTGTTTTCCCTCCTCTGAACCAAGTTCATGACACGGTCCCCCACGTGGCACTGTCAAGGTCCCTGTGCATCTTTTCAGACCCCTGGAGATGCAGTCAGAGGTTGGAGCAGGCAGGCCCTACCGGGCCGGAAGCCAGGCCGAGCCAGCTGACACGAAAGGCTGGCCTCCACTACGGGCCTTCCGCCCACTCTGTGTCCCCGGGTTCAGCGCCAACCCACGTTTCCATCTTAATTTTTATTACCTGACCCTTACCTGACATTGTGTTGAATTTTTTATTTTTATTTTTCTTCTGGCCAGAGAGACATTAGGCCAAGACAGGATTATTTTTAATTGAGTGAAAGGAATTTTTAAATGCAGCAAGTTTTTGTAAAAAGATTGACTTCTGTGAATTCCACTGGGAATACGTTTCATAACAGGAATTTCACAATGTGCTGTGCTCACTTCCCTGTGAAATTGGCTGTTCCTAAGTGCAGAGACACAGGCAGGCTAAGGTTGGCGCTGGCCTCGGAGCCACCACAGTGCAACGCAGGCTGCGGGGGGGAACAGCTGGTCTGGCCCCGGAGCCCTCCTCAGCCATGCCCCAATGTGCAGGGGTGAGTGTGGATGCGGGCCAGGCCTGATGTCACTGCATGCTCCTGAAGTGGCACCTCCGTGATGGGGACAGGTCACGGGCGTCCCCAGGGCTCTGCTCTGCAGGACCCTCCGTGGCTCAGGCTCCACGCTGGCCCCTCCCAGAGGTCCAGGAAGGTCTGGGTCCCCTCCGGCTTTTGAGATTCTTCTTTTTAAAAAACACACTTTTGGTCATCACACAGCAGTTGTGCCTATTTACGGGGCACAGTGAGATCTTCTAGGCATGTATATGGCAGGCACTGAGCAGATCAGGGCAACAGGTACCTCTGTCACCCCACAGGCTTGTCATTTCTCTGGTTGGGGACGCTCCAAATCACAAGGTTTCCTCTTCTGTGAAAAAGTACAAAGGAGAAATTCCAAGCCGGGGCGATAAAAATTGTGCTATTTCCCATGTTCCTATCGATGGCATCGGCCTAAACCCACCGTCTACAGAGCAGGTCACCCTCGCAAGCCTTTGGAGGAGTCGCCTCCATGTGCTGATCCACAAGGCATTGCCCAAGTGTGGCAGTAGAGGACGCAGGTCATACAGGTGATCAGGGGCTCTCAGAACTGTGTCCTCAACCTCATCTGAAGCTAGACCTAAAGTGACTTTGTTGCCATTTATATAATAGACATAGACCCAGGACAAGTGCAGCCCCCTGCCTAGCCTGGCCTGTTTCCATCAACCCTGGGCAGGTCACAGGCACGCTGTCACCACAGTGCTGTCCAGCAAAGAGGGACCAGGCAGGCGGCTCAGTCCACCTTACATCGAGTCCAGCAGGTGGCCAGCTTAGCGGACATGCACATGCCACCTACTTCTGTTCTCGCACACCAGGGAAGGCAGGCGGGCAGAGATACCTGCAGGCAGAGGAGCAGCAGAGGGGGAGAGGCCGCCAGCTCCACAGCGCAGCTCTGGGAGGCCTCAGTCCAATGGTCCACCTCCACTGGCTGGAGCCATCATGGCCCTGAGCCAGGGCCACCCAGACCTTCCCTGTCAAGAGCCGCTGGTCTTCAGGTTCAGTCTGCATCTGGGGAGGGAGGGACACGTCCGCCCTGTCTGAGCTCCTGCACACCAGTGCTGGGGACAGGGACTACCCAGTCCAGCAGAGCGTCGGGTCTGGACTTGCTGCCGTGTCTCTACCAGTCTCGCGGGTTCAACTCTGGGACTTGAGCTGCACAGACAAGGAAACCCTAGAAGCTGCTTCTAGGCAGCTGAAAGAAAGTTCCCGATGGGATTTACCCTAAAGGCATAGAATTTGAGGTATGGGGTGGTGGGGGGACTAGTTTCCACTTCTATTTGGACTATTCCTTCTAAAATGTGAAGAAAACCCTAAGACTCAACATGCGGCTGTTTAAAAAAGCTGTGAGTCCTGGTTAGGATGTAGCACAGCTCAGACATAAAAATGACGGGTGGAAGAGTGTTTACGGACGGGAGGACGCTCACAGGTGGTCAGCTCCTCCAAGAACAAGGTTTATGAGTGTGTGCATGGAACGGATCCTTTCTCTGCAAATAATGTTTCTGGTGGAGATTTTCGGGGAACTCCGTGCCATGGGTCTGGTGAAGGGGAGGAGCCCAGGCTGGTGTGTATTTCTGTCTGTGCCACAGGTTAGGCAGCTTTTGATCTCTATTGGCCACTGGGTTGGTGACCTTGGGCAAACTGGCCTCAATGGCCTCCGCTGTGTCATGGGGGTGGCAGCAGGGTTGCTGCACTCTAAAAAGAGGCAATTCAGCTGCGTTAATTCAGATGCACATCTGTGATTTCAGTGATTTGGGAGGCTGAGGCAGGAGAATTGTGAGTTTGAGGCCATCCTCAATAACTTAGTGAGATTCTACCTGAAAATAAAGAAATTAAAAGGGCTGGGGTGTAGCCCAGTGGTTGAGCACCCTTGGGTTCCATCAAAAAACAGAAAAGGAGGTAATTTATATGAAACTTTTAGAAAAGTGCCTGGCATCCTGTGAGCCCTAACAGATGGCGGCTGAGAGCACCAGGTGCTTTCTGGGCTCTGAGCAGCTCTTCCCTCATCCTTCCACTGACCCATCCTTCTCTCTCCTCAGGGGTCACATTCTCCTTCTTCTGGAAGACGCAGGAAGAACAGTCCAGACCCATCCCTTCTGCATATGGGGGACAGGTCATCTCCAACGGGTTCAAGGTCTGCTCCACAGGAGGCAAAGGCTCTGTGGAACTGTACACGCGTGAGAATTCCATGACCTGGGAGGCCACCTTCAGCCCACCGGGTGAGTGTTGGCACAGTCCCAGTGACAGCCATGCAGGACCACCCGAATGGCGCTGTTCCCCACACTCCTGCCCTGGGTCCCCGGTGTGATGCATGGTGATGGTTGCTGCTGCATGTTTGCACACGCAGATACAGCAGTGCAATGTGGCAGCTCGGCTCCCCAGCACCTCCCTCCCTCCCCCTCCGTCTCTGTCCGCTGTACTCTACTGGCCTCCCTTGAGTTCTGTGAGACCCCTCCCCACTTTTCCCCTCCTGTTTCCTCTCCAGCTTCCTCATATGGGGGAAAACATGCGACCTGTGACCTCCTGAGCCTTGTTTATTTTGCTTGACATAATGCTCTGGGTTCTACCCATTTTCTTGCAAATAGCATGATTTCATTCTTCACGGCTGAAGAAGACCCATTGTGCATCTCCACCACACTTACTTTTTTTTTTGGGGGGGGGGCTTCCAATTAATTTATTAATTAATGTTAAATGAATATATAGGGCGGGGTTGTAGCTCAGTGGTAGAGCGCTTGCCTCCCATGCGTGAGGCCCTGGGTTCAATCCTCAGCACCACATAAAAATAATAATAATAATAATAAATAAATAAAAATAAAGATATTGTGTCCATCTACAACTAAAAAATTTTTAAAAACTGAATATATAAAACATAACATTTTCATTTTCATCTGTTGTAAGCATACAATTCAATGACATTAAATGCATGAAATACATTCACAATGCTGTGTGACTGTCACCACCATCTAGCCTTAAAACTTTTTGTTATTTTTTTATTAATGAATTTATTTATCTTCATTAGGCATATATGACAGCAGAATGCATTTTGATTCATTGTTCACAATTGCAGCACAGCTTTCCATTTCTCTGTTTGTACATGGTGTAGTGTCACACCACATGTGCAGTCATACACATATCTAGGTAATGATGTCCATCTCGTTCTACCATCTTTCCTGCCCCCATGCCCCTCCCTCCTCTTGGCCCAATCACAGTTCCTCCATTTTCCCCATGCCTCACCTCATTGTGGATCAGCATCCACTTATCAGAGAGAGCATTCAGCCTTTGGTTTTTGGGGATTGGCTTACTTTGCTTAGCATGATATTCTCCAATTCCATCCATTTACCTGCAGATGCCATGATTTTATTCTCTTTTAATGCTGAGTAATTTCCACTGTGTATCTACACCACATTTTCTTTATCCATTCATCTGTTGAAGGGCATCTAGGTTGCTTCCACAGTTTAGCTATTGTGAATTGAGCTGCAATGAACATTGATGTGGCTGCCTTACTATAGTAAGCTGATCTTAAGTCCTTTGGGTATAGATCAAGGAGTGGGATAGCTGGGTCGAATAGTGCTTCCATTCCAAGTTTTCAGAGGAATCTCCACACTGCTTTCCAGAATGGTTGCACCAATTTGCAGTCAGGGGCTCCTTCTTCAAGAGGCTCCCTGGGCAGGTGACCAGGAAGGCGGGCTGTGCCTCTGGCAAGCAGATTCTTGCCGGGTCAGACCTGGGCCTGCAGCCCTGAGCAGGAGCTCCGGCCTCATGCAGGTAGCTGCGGGAGCCTGGGTTTCCATGTCAGCATCAGGGGACTGGGTGACCCTGCAGATGCTCAGCTGTGGCAGGGGTCCGGATGGAAAGTGGTGAGCTGAGGGCGGGGGTCAATCCCCCTCCTGCCCCCACTTCCAGGTTTACCAGGTGGTGGGGGGCGGATGTGGGGCACTGGGTGGCGAGTGGTGTTGGTGAAGGAGGGAGGGTGCAAGTCAGCAGAGGGGCTGAGCTCATGGCTGGGGGAGAAGCCGCAGAGTTTCTGCTGGGGGGGTTCTCAGTTTCTCTGTTATGGAGTTCACCTGCAGGGTGAAGTCACAGGTATGGGCGGGGGTAGTGTGGGGAGGCTGGGGAAGGCCTGCAGTGGACACTGAGAGAAGGGGAGAGGTGACCTGGGCTTCTGGAGGACTTCAGGGTAGTGTTCAGGGAGGGCCCATGTGAAGGCCCCAGAGGGCAGGGCAGAGGTTGGGATGGTGACCCAGAAAGGCCTAGGCTGGTGCTCTGCCCAGGAAGTGACAGGTTTGCAGCACTCAAGGGGAGCCCTGTCTGGCTTAATGGAGGGAGGGCACGTGGCCCACCAGACTCTGGAGCCAGGCAGCCTGGGCCAGGTCTGGGCCCTGTGCTTGTAGCCACGTGAACCTAGACACCTTCCTACCCCACCTGCTCCCTCAGTTTCCTCATTGCAATGTGAGTGACAGGATTGCTTCACAGGGAGCCTGAGCCCAGGGACACAGAGCCTCCAGGGAGTCCATAGGCCCACAGGCCCAGAGCCAAGGGGCGCGGGGTCTGGACGTGTCCGCCTGTGCTTGGGAACGTGGGGAGCATACGCTCTGAATTAGCTCCCAGACCCCCTGGGCAGGAGATTGCCAGCCCCGCTCCACACAGCACCGCCCAAACCTTGTCGAGAGCTCCCACTGCCGCTGTCTGGGCTTCAAATCTCAGCACCTCATCTCTGTGCCCTTGGTCTGGCGGGACAGACAGAACCAGACACCTAGCAGGTTCTTTGAACTTGAACTTGAATGTGTATTAAGATGAACTCAGCTGTTCCCACGGGGAAACAGGACTGTAAACGTCCCTGCAGGGCAGCGTGCTCTTCACTGGGTCATCGCTGGGATTTGTCCTTCTCACTGTGGAACCCAAGGGCAATGAAACCTTGGGCCTGTTTGAGATCCAAGTGTCCAGAGGCTCAAGATTATCAGAAGGTTGCACAGTCCTGAGCGAGAGGCCCTGATGTACGGCTGGGTGATGTGCAACCAGCGGGCAGGAGGACGTGTGTCCAGGGGACAGCCAACCAGAGGCTCATGACATGTTGGATGACCATCCATGTTGGACGCAGCTTCCTATGGCTGAGCACGGTGCGCATGCCAGGGTAAAGGGCGCCTGAAGGCTTACTGTGGAGCTGCCCAGGTAGCCAGGAGGCTGGTCTTCCTGCCACGTCACGGCTACGTCACGGCCACATTGGCTGCTGTCACACACGCTGCGTCAGAGATGAGGGGGCTGCCCAGGGTGGGGGCTGAACGGGGACTTCAATGCTTCTGTGGTCCCATGCTGGGCTGCTTAGGCCATGTCTCTAGAAAATGTTCTGAACAGTTCCGGGTCTGACCATGAGTTGTGATTTAATTTTAGAACTAAGACTTCCCAACCTCTCTTGGGAATAAAGAGGGGCCATGGGGGGCTTTTTGTGCTGATGGCAGGTGAGGTATGTGGGGGCTGCCTCCTAGCTGCAGAAGTCACCCTTCGCCCTTCTGTGCCCTGCGGCTGGCCCAGAACTGAGTCCTCAGGGAAAGCAGGGTCCCCCTGACCTTCTCCCAGCCTCTCTGCAACTCTGCTGTGCTGGTTTTAGTGGACTCCTGTGTTTCCCACCCTTTCAGACCCCAGCACAGCCAGGTGTGGCGAGAGCCACGTACCTCCTGTCCCCAGGCACCCCACTGTCACCTGCTCTGCAGAGGGGCCTCACTGTGACCATGAGGCCACGGTGCCATGTCATGGTAGCCCCAGCCTGCGGTCCACCTGGGGGTCCACTCCTGGTGTTGGACACCCTTGGGGCTGGTGAGGCATCTGTCCAGAACTTGAGCCTGTCCTGGGTGGGCTGTGTGTCTTCTCATGGCTGAGTCACAGCCGTGCATTGTGGGTAACAGTGTCTGTCGTGTCTTTTGCAAGCCCTCCTCATGACGCTGTCTTGCAGAGCAGAGGTCTTTAAAGTCTTGGTGACGTCCAGCTGCCGTGGATTTTGTCCATGGTTCCACAGCAAACAGCCGTCACCAGACCCAGGCTCATCCCCTGTTTCTCCTGTCATTTCCAGGAGCATCACGGTTTTGCATTTTGCTTTCAGGCCTGCCATATGTCTTGGATTAATCTTTGCCATGGTGAGAGGGTCTGGGTTTATTCATTTTTACCTTTGCACTGAGTGCCCAGCGGTCTGGTGTTACTGGGTGGAAAGGCCAGCTTTGCTCGAGGGTATTACCTTTGCCCTTTTGCTGAGTGTCAGTGGATGGCCACTGCTGGTCCTGCCCAGGGCTGTCCACCCTGTCCCCTGCTTGCCTTCCCTGCCCACGCCGCACCTCCCTGCCTGAGTACTGCGGCTCTTTAGGGAGTCTTCAAGGCAGGGGGGTCAGTCCCCCAGCCTTTTTTTCTCCTGACTCTGTGGGGCTCTTCTTGGCATTTCCTCTTTATGGACTCTTGGACCAATTTGTTGCTATCCAAGAAATCATTTGCTGGGGTTTTCCTGGAATCTACAGAGCAACCCGGCGGGGAGAACTGACCTCTTGCCAGTATTGAGCCCACCTGTCCACGGACGTGGGAGGTCTTTCTATTAGTTTAGTTCTTGTTTAGTCTCTTTCATTGGTCTTTTGTAGTTTTCCTCGGATCTTAGGCATTGCTTGTCAGACTTATACCAAAGTATTTCTTCTTCTCTTCCTTTTTTTCAGGGCCAATGTTAATGATACTTTTTTTTTTTTTTTAAATTCCACTTGTCCTTTTCTTGCGGACAAAAAGGTGGCTGATCCGCTTGTTCACCTGTACTCTGTGATCTTGCTGTAATCAGGAACCATTTCCAGGAGGTTCGTTTTGTATTTGTTCTTATTCTTCAGGGTTTTTCTTTGTAGACAGCCACGCCATCTGCAAAGATGATTCTGTCACCCTTCTCAACATGCAAGCGCGTATCTTTTCTCTCTTGTCTGTGACATTGTCAGTGCCACCCAGGGTGCTGGAGGCCCTGTGAGCAGGACAACCCTTGCTCCTGACAGGCTGTGTTTTCAACTGGGTTCCGGGTCTGATTGACAGGTGCTCGTGTTCTGCATTTTAAAACTATTTTTTCCCTTTTGCTTGTGGTCACTTGGGTCAGTGACTCCTGTGTTAAAACGGTGAATCTCTGGACCTGCTTTGGGGATTTGGGGAGGGAGGCAGAAGGGCAATTTCTTCCCTGTGCTCCAGAGGGCTGATGGAAGTTGGGTCCGTGAGGTGGCCTTTTTAGGACTGGCCAGGACCAGCAGTGACAGTCATCAGGAAGAGGGTGTGTGTGGCAACGGAGAAGACGCGTGCATGGGGCGCTCATGCCGACGGTGCTCAGGATGCTGTCTTGGCTCTTCTCCAGGTCCCTACTGGACTCACGTCCTCTTCACGTGGAAATCCAAGGAGGGCCTCAAGGTCTACATCAACGGGACACTGAACACCTCTGACCCAAGTGGGAAGGTGTCTCACGCCTATGGAGAGCCCAGCGCCAACCTGGTGATTGGGTCTGAGCAGGACCAGACCAAGCGCTACGAGAATGGGGCCTTCGACGAGTTCATCATCTGGGAACGCGCCCTGACCCCAGATGAGGTGGCAATGTACTTCACAGCTGCCATAGGTCAGTGAGCGCGATGGTGTGGGCAGGCCTGGTGCGTGCTCCAGGCATCCCTGGCCCTCCTCCCTCCCCAGCCTTCCTTCTTCCTCAGCTGTCCTCCCTCCCCAGCCCTCCTCCCCTCCTCCTCTCCCCCCCCCCCCGCCCTCCCCCCCTCCCCAGCCCTCCCTCCTTAGCCCTCCTCCCCTCCCCAGCCCTCCTCCCTCCCAATCTCCTCCGCAGGTGTGAGGTGCGTCCCAGTGAACTGTTCCAACCCAGTGCTTTCTGAAGCACCTGTTCCCTAAGATAAAGTGGTTAACAATTTACCAGAGGCACACTGAGGCGGTGTTCTCCTGGGTCACAGGGTGCGTGAGAGGATGGCTGTGAGAGGCTTTGGAGAGCAAATATTCCAGGCCCATCAGTGTATTTGCCCAAGAACCACCTCCCACGTGCCACATTCCCTGATGGGCCCTGGAGCCCCCCAAATGCCCTCTTCCTGCTTGGCACACAGTGGTCATTCAGCACAGTGGCCTGTATACCTGGGCTCAACTCTCCCCTCTGCCTTGGTGAGCCATGGGACATTGGAAAGTCGCTTTTTAAAAATTGAGGTGACATTTACATAGTGTCAGTTAACCATGTAAATGTGGACAATTTAGTGGCATTTGGTAAGAGTGTGATGTGTGCAGCCACCATCTCTGTGGAGTGTCCAGATATCTGTGTCCCCCCTAAAGGGAGCTCCTGGCCCTTAGCAGAGTCTCCCCTGCCCGCTGCCAGCCTCAGCCAACAGTCTTAATCATGCAGGTCACAGCTTCCTACCTGCACAGTGGGGGAGGAGAATGCCACCCCCCCAGTGCCACATGATGTAGCAGGGCAGGGTGTGCAAAGCCACTAGCTGGATGCCCATGTGGCAGGGCCTTGATGTTAGCACTCAGCTCGTGCTAGAATTGTCTCTCCCTGTTGGTCACGATTTCACCTCGTGGTGCCTACAAGCAACATGCTGCTTATTTCCACTCAGAATGACCTGCCAAGAGGCAGCGGTCACCACATGGGCACGTCTCCCTCCAGCAACCTCATCAGAAGAGGGGGTGTCTGCTCCTGTCCCTCCTGCAGCCAGGCTGGCCTGACTCTCAGTGGCTGAGTTGATGTGTATGCCTTCTGTCAGCAGGACTGTGGTGGGGCTGCAGGAAATGCTGACTGGGACACTGTCCACTCTTGATATGGCAGCACGGCCAGCCTTGTCCAAAACACACGTGGAAAAGGGACCCCCAAGGGACAGTCAGGGTGCTGGTCACAAGAGGGATTGGATGCCATGCAGCACCGATGGGTGTCCAGGGCAGCCTCCCAGTCCTGCCTTCGAGTGTCCTCAGAGGAAAGGGGCATTCGCTCACTTGCATACAGAGGCCCAGTGGAGTGTCCAGCAGAGGAAAACATCACTGGTCTCTGCCCATTGCCCAGGATGCAGACAGCTGTCACTGTGAGAACACTGTGTCATGGAAGACCTCAAGCCATTTGCCTTCCTGACCGTTTTCTGGTTGGTGGCCTCAAGAAGAGCCTCTGCTGTCCCTGGTTCCCCTAGCTGTGGCAGCAGCCCTAGGTACCGGTCGTGTCTGGGCTGGGCCCCTCTGGTCCTCTGCACTTGGAATAGAGGATGTCCCATCCTCGGCGGGTGCAGAAGAGTTGCTGGGTTAGCTGGCCTCCTAGAACACAGACCCTGTGCCCACCTGAGCCAGGCCGGAGCCCCCTGGGTACCGTTCCACCTGGCCATCTGGTCCTGTAGAGTGTGAGTGGGAAGAAGGACACCGGCTGCCCCTGGAGGCCCTCTGTGGGGACTGACATGCCGTTGCCATCCAGTTCAGTTTGGTCAGGGGAGATGAGTCCAGACTGGGGCTGAGCTGAAACCCAGCCTGAGGGCACTGAGGCCACAGGAGCTGGGGACAGCACTCTGTGCATGAGAATCTGGGTGTTCCCGCGGCTCTGCCAGGCCACAGGTCCTGGAGAGGACCTTTCTCCAAGTGCCTGGAGAGGACCTTTCTTCAAGTGCCTGTCCAGATGAGATGGCTTCTTCCGAGCCCATTAGCTGGGGCAGGTGCTGTTTTCTGACTGACTGGTCCAGATGGGGTGATCTTTTCTCATTCGTACAAAGGCAAAGTGTTGTCACCCTGGAAGGTCCCCACCCCGGCCACCAGAGTGGGTGACAGCTCCTCTAGAGATGGGCAGAGAAAGCGGAAGGCTGTGTTCAGAGCCGTGTGAGCTGAAGGCTCCTGTCTACCTCCAGTGGGATCCCAGGGCGCGCCAGGTGCTCGCGGATGCGGGTCACTGGGGCTGAGCTGGGCTGAGGACACGGCTGAGCCCCTTTCCCCTCTGCCTCGGGTGCTTACCTCTTGTGGGTGTGGGCAGGTCTGCAGACTCTCGTTTTCCCTTTTCAGGACTGGGGATGGGGCTGGGGCTAGGCTGGGCGCAGCTCAGTGTCCCTGGCCATCCTCCTGCCTGGAACCTGAGCAGTCGGGGTGGCAGGTGTTGCCTCCCTCTGCACCCAGCTCTGCCAGACTGATTTGAATTGCCCTTTAAAGTGGCACTTGATGAGTCGGCTTTAGCTTGAGCAGTTACTTCCTCACGCCAGACTTTCCATCCATCCATGGGACTTTGACATGGTCACTCTGTGGCTCCCTGGCAGCTGAGCAATGAGCGTCACTTTGGAGAACAGTATGGTTCTGGGGCCCGGGTCTCCCACGGGCATCACACCTGCGTTTACCACCCAAATACAAGGGGTCGTGCCAGCCAGCAAGGGTGACGACTCCGCTTACTCAGGTCACCGAAGCCACCTTGAGGTCTGCTCCAGCAGTGAAGTTGAATGTGTAGTGCTCTGTCCCCAGCAGGAGGCGCTGGGGGTGGAGGACCACAAAGCCTGGCCCCTCAAGTCTGGAAGGTCCTCCATATGGCAAGGCCTTGAGCAGAGGGCCTGGGAGCCGTCTTCCCCTCCAGAGGTCCTGGCTCACTTGTCCCTTGGATGAAGCACTCTGTCCCAGCCCTGAGACTCAGTCATGTCTATTGCTAACTCGTCTGGTGCAGTTGAAGCCTATTTTTCATTCTTTATTTCTTTGAAGTCAGTGACGCCTTGCCTAAGATCATCTCTTCCTGTGATGACGGGCATGAAGGGTGATCAAAAGCAATTTAGAATCCAACAGAGGCAGCGTGGGCTGGGAGACCCAGATCCCCACCTGATCAGCAGCTCATTGGCCCTTTGCCTTCCCAGCCACATTCCCACTGGAAACACCCCCAGCCTCTCTCAGATGCATCTCAAGCTGCTAAACTCGGGGATATAGACAGACCTTCCCTGGGGTGGGAAAAGGGGCGCAGTCTTTGTCCTTATTAAGCGTCACTTACTTTTTCTAGGAAAGCATGTCTTGTCAACCTTGGCCCCAGGCTTCTCCATGACACCCACAGCAGGCACCATGGTGAGTAGGTGCACTTTCTTTGCTCCTTGGGGGGTGTTTCTGTGTGGGCCAGGTGCCAGGAGGGATGAGTTCCATCAGATGACGTGGGCTCTTCCTTGGTGGCAGTGTAGTGTCTGGGAAGAGATCATTGACACAGGGAAGCCAACTTTGGGGCTCTTTCTTGGTGCTCATGGTGACAGAGGGGAAGACAACCCCTGGTTTCTGCTGCCAGTCACTGCAGGTGCCTAAAAGGAGTGACTAAATGAGATTCTCAATTAGTCTCTCTCAGAGCAAATGGCCCCGAGGTCCCCTACTGGGCAGTGGAAGCCACCGCCCCTGTGGAGCTCAGCTTCCCTCTATGACTTTTCTTTGCTGTCTGAGGGAAGCTCAGCCAGTAATGATGGTCCCTCTAGAGCCACCACCTGTCACTAACCGACTCCCTGAGCTTCCATGTTCCTGACAGCATGCCGACTCTGAGCACCCACCTGGGGTTCAGGTCTCGGGAGCTTCGCCTCTCGGGGCTTAGCTCTGTCTGTCGAGTGGCTCCTGATTCAGGAGGAAGCTGTGAGGGGGACATGCCCACACGTGCCACAGTTCACGAAAGGGCCTGGCATGTGGGAGGTGCCATGTGGGACCTTGCCCCGAACAGCGAGGCCTCCATTCTCGGCAGGAGCTCATGTTGCCAATTTCTTTCAGACGCCCACTGATGCCTACCATCCCATCATAACCAACCTGACAGAGGAGAGGAAACACTTCCAAAGACCTGGAGTCGTGCTGAGTTACCTGCACAACGTGTCCCACAGCTTGCCCAGCAAGTCCCTCTCGGAGGACACAGCACTGAACCTCACGGAGGTGAGTGCTCTGATGCTCATGTGAGCGGCCCAGGGCTGGAGCGCAGCCACACCACAGCCTGCAAAGTGAGGCCAGGAGCTTTCACATGAGGCCTGGACTTCCGGCTTCCCATGTGCGAGCAGATGGGGTGCCGCTCTGGCTGCCCGTACACAGTTCCAGGGGCCTGTGTTTCATTCCCCAGTGGGTCGTCCTGCTCCGTCCTGAGCCCGCCTGGCCTTCGGAGACATTTGGGTGTGAACACCTGGTCTAAACTCTGCCACCTCCTTGGCAACAGGTGAAAGTTGGAGCTGGGTCTTTGGGGATTCAGCCGGGGGCCATAGGTCACAGGCCACAGTCTGCACATTGGGAATTCCCAAAGTTACACAAAGTCTCAGTGAATGCAACATTTACAGCCTGAAAACCAAGATCCTTACTCTTTGTACCTTGGTATACAGTAAGCACTGCATAAGTACTAATCTTTCTCCTGTATGGATTGAGCTGGGCTACAAGAGGTCACTCTGACAGCTGGTGCCTTATATGCAGCTGGTGCCTAATGAACATCTTGATGAGCCTGCCCTGCCCTCATGTGGCAGTGTTTCCCATGAAGGGTCCTCAGAGGTGTGCAGCAGGCACTTAGCTGGGGTCTGCTTGTTTCGGGATGTCTAGGGCAGGGGGAACTCAGCAGTGGATTCATCACTTAGACATTTATGTGCTAAATGCCTGCTGTGCTGGTTGAGTTCACTAATCATGAAATGGACTCTGAATGAGCCACCACTGCCTACCCTCGAGCAGGCTGGCCAGTTAGCAAGCACCTGTGGACAGCTCCATCTGCCCGGCCTGGGATTCTTGAGGGCTGAGCCTGGCTTTGCCCTGCCTCCATGGGGCTTGCAGCCCAGGACGCGGCCAGTCCCAAGAACTGTCTGTGGGATGCTGGTTTGAGGGTCCCCCCCAACCCGAACCTTCTGGCCTGGCCCTGCTACCTGCTGGTGGATAATTGCAAGGCACTTCGGTGGCAGCAGGCAAATGGGTGACTGTGGCAGGTGCAAGCTGTTACTTCTATGAGCCGCATGGGCCAGGGAGCTGCTGCAGGGCTTCAGAGTGGTGGGGGGAGCTGCTGGGTGGCTGGCAGAAGTGACGATGGACGAGGGCCAGGCCAGGCAGGTGAGCACTCTGTGCTGAGCCCAGTGTGGGGCTGCAGGACGTCGATGGACACGTGGCTCCATGGCCTTTAACAGGTGTGCGTTTAGAGTAGGGAATTCAGCGCAGGTCCTCTTAAGAAGCACTTCCATTTCAAGCTTGGAGACTTCCTGTCTGCCTGCTTCTTTCCTCGCCCCCGCTAAACCTCACAAGCCAGAGAAGCTCAAGTGGCTTCAAGGACCAGACGATTGAAGTGGGCGGGCGGCTGGTCTCACCCAGCTCATCTGCAGCCACCTGATTTCAACCTGTAGTGTGACACTAACCCTCTTCAGGTTTTGCAAGGGAAGCAAGCCCCTGCCTGGAATTTTAAAATGAGAAATCTCACAATTTAAACAAGTGTGCAGCTAACTGAAACATTAAAAAAAATTATGTGCAGACCCAATAAACCCATCTCAGAGCTGGGTGCAGCCCGGGGGCCTGGTGGAGACCTCTATGTGGACCAGGGCCAAGGTGTCCAACTCCAATGCCCTGGAGACAGAGCACACAGATTTACCCCAAATGCCACTAGTCTCTGATTGGGTGACAGGTAAAAGTGCTTGGTGACCACACTGTCTTGCAGGGTCCTGGCTTCTTGCCTGTCAATTACGCAGGATGGCAAGGGGTCACTTCCTGTGCTGTGTGGAGCGGGGCCATGTGCTGTTGAGCATTTGAGCCGTGGTTCCTGTAAGCCCAGGAGTGCAGCAACTGCAGGCCACACAGCAACCTCAGGCCTCCCACAGAGCACGGGCAGCATGTGGTGAGCAGTCCTAGGGGCACTGAGTGTGGAGACAATGGTGTTGTGTGTAGTCGGAGCTACGTAAGGCAAACTGGGAATTCCCGTGCTCTTCTTTTAAAAATGTGGCTGCTAGAAACTTTAAAAAGACAAATGTGGTTCATGTATTTCTATTAGAGGGAGCGGCTCTAGTCAGGGGTCAGCCCACTGCGCTTCCCAGGCCACATCTGAGTAAAGTTTTATTGGCACACACTTATACCACTGTCCCTGCACTCCAAGGCCAGCAGAGCTGTGAGGCCTGTGAAACCTGAGCTCTTTCCTACACGGACCCCGAGACAGGCTGCCTGAGCCCCGGCCCAGCCTTCGAGGACAGGCCACACCGTGTCTCACTAGCCCTGGAGGCTTGCACCTCAGGGTCTTAATGAATATTTATCTGATAGAGAGGATAAAAGACTGGAGGTTTTGATGCTGTGTCCCCTAAGTAGGAGGAGGGTGTGGCTCTTTTGGAGATGATAGTTTGGAGGAAAGCAGGGACACTTAGATCAGACTCCAAGTTTAATCCTGGGAGGCAGGTGACACAGGTGCCAGACGGTGGGGGAGGCAGGGACTGGGAGACCTGGGGGGGGGGGGGCACATGCCCATCTAAGTGGCCGTTCTGCTCAGCTTTGGTGGATTGTGGTTCAGAGGGGACTTGGCTGAGGGGGTCCAAACTTCTGCTTTTTTCAAAGGAGGTAGGAAAGCCGTGTATTTTCACTTAAGTCTCTCAATTTGGAAACGTTAGAAACCAATTTCATCAATTAGGAACGCTGGTGAGCCAGACCAAATGTGTCTTTAAGGCGGTATGTCCAGGGAGCCCCGGGTACCCCCTGCTTCATGAAGAGGTCATTTCCAGTCAACACAAGCGGCTTAACATCTGCTGTGCTTCCCACCTTAAGAAAAGCGTAACCCAGGTCCTGATTTTTAATCAATTCATTAATTTAATTGGCATCTGCCGAGGGCATAGGGGCTCTTGCCACACTGAGCAGTGTCCAATCTGACATCCATATGCTGGCCGCTGACTTTACAGGGCCGTGATCCTGAGCAGGTCCGGGGGCCTGATGCTTCTCCAGTGACATGAGCTCTGGCTGTGTGCAAACCCCGCCAGTTGTTGATGGAGACGCCCTGGGGACATGGGGGAGCCCAGGTCTTGACCTGGGGCTGCGGGTCTATGCTGAGCTGTGCTCCTCTTGTTCCCCTGTAGACTTTCTTGAATACCGTGGGCGAGCTGCTCCTACTACCCAGTTGGACCGACGTGTCGGAGGTAAGAGCCAAGAACATTTGATCTTCCTAGTACGGCCAGTTCACGTCCGTCAGGGGGACAGTGCAGCTATGCACATCTAGGCCACTCGGGCTCACCTTGCCTGGACACCTTGCTGAGGCAGAGCCAAGTCTCAGAGGCACCAGGGCTGCCGTGTGCACGGCCCTCCATTCTGAGGAAGGAAGGGGCTGATTTCCCCACGAGGGTGGACCCTTGCTGGTCACTTACCTGGTGTGCTTTTTCCCATGGCACCCTTCTGGAATAGTAATACGAATTGTGTTTGGCGCTTAAAGACCTCTGGACTGGGGGGAGCAGCCAACACAGACAGCTCACACCTCAGGGTAAAAGTGTCAAAACGAAAAGCTCTCGTTCTCTGCACCCATCAAAGGAGGGGAGTCATTTTTATTTTACTTCCAAAAGACCTACGGACTTCATTTATTTAAGAATAAGTCAACAAATAGTGGTGGAGAAGTTGGAAAATGCAGGTGATGAGATTGCAGAGGACATGGTGGTCGGTCTGCAGATGCCCCGGCAGCCTGAGTTTCTACACACACGTGTGCACACAGAGTCTACAAACAGTGTGTGTATCTGGTTTCGCCTGCTTTTCCTCAATCCTGTCAAGAACGTGTTCCAAGGTACTGAGCCTTCTTCTGCAGTGTAGTGCTAGTCAGGACAGGATAAGCCACGCTGCAGTAACAATCAGCCCTGCCTCTCAGAGGCTCAGCACAGCTGACATTTACTCCTTGGGCACATTTAGTCCAGGGTGGCTCTGGGACCCTGCCTCTGCCCATCTGCTGCTGCCTGTGAAACACACGGCTTTCATGGCTGCCGGTGGGTGGAGAAGGCAGAAGGCCCAGGCCCCAGCCACACCAGCAGGGTGAAGTGCTCCTCTCCTGAACCCTTGTCATTAAAAACGTTTGGAAGTGTTTTCCGGAGGGGCAGAGTGACATCTCATTCTCTCCTTATTAATGAGATTGCACCAGGACTTGAATTTCATGGGCTTTTTATTTGAACAATTTCCAATGGATGGAGATTGTGTTTAACATTGGCAAAGGGAGGGAAAAGGTCAAGAATGTAAGACTGAAGCAATCCTACCTAGATGCAGATTCTTTTTAAAAGAATCTGCCCTGCTGGGTTGGCGATTTCAAGGGGACTTTGTGTATAAGACCACACCCTGGGAATCCAGAAAGGAGCTGGAGGGCTCAGACAGACTGAGTTTCTGTATCAATTTAAATTAACTCTTTTGGAATGCAAAATACACTGCCAGATATGCGGATCTGCTGCAGCCTATGAATAGGCAGCAATGTCCTGCACTCAGGCAGGCTGTAACGTGCACTGGAGAGAGAGCGAAGGAATCAGGAATCTGCCGCTCCCCGTGAGAGTGTGAGCCAGGGACACGGATGCTCACGTGCCTAACTGTGCTCGGCTGATTGAAATCGGGCCAAGAGCCCGAGAGAAAACGTCTAAAATTGGCCTCAGCCTTCCATTTCCAGCTCATTAGGGTCTCCTGGAGCGTGTGTTTGTGAGAAGCCGAGCTTAGCGCAGACAGATGCTGCTCAGAAAGCCCAGAGGAGGGGAGGGCAGGGCAGAGCAATGAGACCCCCCTCCTTGCCCTGTGCCTGAGCATAGGCAGCCGTACCAAGTGGACACATGCCTGAGCTGACAGCAGAAGCGTGTGACCAGGAGGGCCTCGCTTCCCTGGGGATAGTAGCCACAAGTTTCCCCTGCCCTGTGGACTCAGTGGGCACCGAGGCTCTTGGAGGGCAAGTTCAGGGGGCCAGACATGATTTGGGGTGCTGACCACCTGCCTCCATGAACAGTGGGCCATAACTGCTGGTGCCCTCATGCCAGAGAGGACTTGGGCTGTCAGCCCCTGCCCCTAGAGTGGAAGGAGTGGAAGGGGCAGGACTGGGATTTTCTGTGTCCCCTGGAGGGTGCAGAGTGGAGCCAGGACCATGGGTCTGAGCCACTCAGCCTCCCAGCACCCAGGAGCCTATGCTCAGCACGGGATCAGCTCTATGCTGAGTCCCTCTCTGTGAGCACAGGAGGGCCCATGGCCACCGTCCAGCCTGACAGGGGTAGTCACATGGCTTCTCCCTCTGCACGGCTGAGGTGAGGCAGTGTGGTTGGTGTTTCTCAGACGGGGTCTTGCTGAGGTGGTGAGGCTGCCTGGAATGTGCCGTCCTCCCCCCTCGGCCTCCATTATTGGGGGTGACAGGTGTGGTCTCTGGGCCGACTAGGCTGGACGTGTCTGCCCTCAACCTGCCCGTCCCGTGCAGCCTGGGGGTTCTCGGGCTTCCTCAGTCTATGTTATTTGCAGGACAGCGTCCTGGCACTGGGCCTGATCGACACCATCGACACAGTCATGGGCCATGTGTCTTCCAACCTGCACCCCAGTGAGCCCCAGGTCTCCCTCGTGGGCTCTTCCTCCATGGCAGGTACTGGGGGCCAGTGGGGCGAGGTGGGTGTGCAGGTGGAGGTGGGGGGCCAGGGCTGGTGCTCCCTTGGGCTCTGCTGCTCAGTCTCACACCCACCAGGAGCTGAAGTGAACCCACCTTTGCTGTGTCTTGAAGGAAGGTGCAAGGTTAGAGTCAAGGTGGGGGTGGCCCTCACAGGGCGCACATGCCCTCGCTCACTGCACGTGCCGTGCCAGCCAGGTCCAGCCAGGTTCAACCGTGGGACCCCCGGGCTGGCAGAGGGCAGCCACCTTGCAGCAGGGCCTTGCATCTTGCTGGTTCACTGAGGCCCCAGAGGAAGGGCTGCAGGGGGTGAGGTCACCCCAGGACAAGATCCCTCCTGCTTGGGCTGGAGCCTCAGTCTGGGCAGCAACAACCTCGGGCCCTGTGTTTTTTAGGCCATCCGTTCTAAGGGCAGTGACACTCCCAAAGAAAAGGCAGGTGGCCAGTGCCCTTCCTGCTGCCATGAGCCTGTGCCCAGCTCTTGCCTCCTCTTCCCTCCCTTGCAGACTTCTCCGTGGCAAAGGTCCTCCCCAGGATGCTGGGTGCTCCTCACTACCGCTTCCCTGCCCATGGGCAGAGCTATATCCAGATTCCTCGAGAGGCCCTCTGCAGCCCAGGTGAGTGCAGTGTCTGGGCCCTCTGGGCAGCCCCCAGTGTGGTCCAGGGTCCTCAGGGTGGTCCAGAGTCCCCGGGGGCTGCTGATTGGCCCAGAGCTCCTGAGTCCCCTGTGGGAGGGGCTGGGTGTGCTCAGAGCATGTGCCCAAGGGGTGTACCCAAGAGGTGTGCCCAAAGGGTGTGCTCCAGCACCCTCAGCACAAGCTCCAAGGTGTCCCTCAAACACTAACTCCACGCCAGCCACCGACTGAACTGGAATTTTGGGAGTGGGGAGCTGGGAATCTGCACTCAGTGAGTCCGGCCATCCCCGTGGGATTCTCATGTCCCAAATCTGCTCAGTCCTGGTTAGCCAAATGTCAATGGCGAGGGCCACCCAACCCGGGCCTGGCCAGGGACCCACCCCTCTGCCCATGAAGGGCCTCCAGCATCCCTGGTAGCCTGGCTACCCTGGGAGCTCAGCACACGTCTGCAGGGAGTCACTGTCATGGTCCAGCACTCAGTTGCATGGCCACAGTGTGCTGGCCTTTGCAGACCCTGCCTCTGTTGTCCCCAGGAGCTGCCCTGGTCCCTGGGCCTGAGGGGCTGTGTGCATGGTGGGTGGGCTTTGTGCTTGTCTGCTTGCCCTGGAATGCTGACACGTCCCTGACTCTGCCTTGTCCCCAGCCTGGACCACTATCGTGGGCCTTCTCTACCACTCCATGCACTGCTACCTGAACAACATCCATCCGGCCAGTACAGAGTGAGTCTCGGGTCCACAGCAGAGGGCGGTCCTTGTTACTGGGTGGCCAATCTGAGCAACACCCCTGTGCTGTTACACGAGGAGCGCCATCTTGCCAGAGTGCCCTGGGTACCAGTGCCTGGTGGCTGCTGCCTGGGGCCTGGCAGTCCTGTGGGTCAGGCTGACAGTGAGGTGCTCAGGAGCACAGGCGGGAGAACGGTCAGCCCCACCTGGGCCTGGCTCTGTAGCCTTGGACAAGTGACTCAGGCCCTCTGAGCCTGTTCGCATGTCTGCAGAACAGGGCAGCAGACCTGCTCATGTCCTTGTCTGCCTTGGGAGGTTGCATTAACTCATTCACTGATGTGTGCTGAGCACCCACTATGTGCTGAGCTCCCACTGTGTGCTGAGGGGCTGGGGGAGCAAATCGGATAGGAACGGAGCCCTGATGGGGCTCAGACGCAGGGTGGTGGCAACCAGTGACGAGCCACGGGAGAGGAGCATGAGGCCACGCTGGTGGGAGGCCCTGAGCTCAGGGGCTGGGCTCATCTTGTGGTCTCTGTGGCTGCTCACGTGGGAGCCCCCGTCTGGCCGGAGGAGCTGCCCCTGGGTGTTTGTGAGGAGCTGGTGCAGTTCTTCAGGAAGGAGCTGCATGGTGCCCAGGGCCCCACAGGTGGGGCCTGGCCTCGCAGGACAGGTGGGCACTGTCTCAGCTCTGAGCCATCAGGCTCTATCCTGGCCCTGATTCACCTCTGACATCCGCTGATGCTCCTCTCTGTGGGGCCACACCCTGTGCATTCCCAAGGGTGAAAACCCTCAAGGGCAAAGGCCATTCTGAGGGCCATGAGTCTGGGAATCACAGTGTCCAGCATCGTGCAAGGCACGGGGCAGGGCCTGGTCTGTGGTCCCCGATGGGGAACATCGAGCCGTGAGGGCTCCTGGGGCTGTCGTGGAAGGTGAGGGGTGGAATTGGTGGCCCAACATTTCCTGTGTTCCTTTTGCTGTGTGTTTTATTCTGCGGTCATGTGGAGGGTTGGCTGGGGTCAGTGACGTCTTCATGTGGAATTGTCGGAGGACCCTGTCGTCATTTGCTGGCACAGGAAATTGATGCCTCTCCTGGCTACAGACTCTGTCTCGGGAAGGTCCCTGGAGCCACCTCCTCAGGACACAGAGGCCGTGGGCTCCATGTCCACAGTTCCGGGAATCACCCCTTGTGCTTCCTGGAGGCTGCTTCCCCAGGGACCCACGTGGGGACACTTTTGCAGGACCTGGGGCCAGGCAAGGGTGCATGTGGGGCTTCACCCCCCATGTCCAGCAGGGTCACCAAACACAGTGCTTTCATCTAGGTACTAGGAAAGCCAGACGAGGGAGGGAGGAGGGGGCCCAGAGCTCCCAGGCCCCGTCCCCTGCTCTGCATGCAGTTGTGTTGGTGAATGCCCTTGGGACCTGCAGAATCCTCAGCCAGTGCCTGGGGAGCTGATGCAGGACACTCACGGAGTCCAAAGGTAGTCAGGTGACCATCTTCCCTTCTAGTTCAGCTGTCTCAAGTTCAGATTCCTGCAGCAGATCCTTGTGGAGCTCCTGCTGTGGGGCCGGAGCTGGGGCAAGGAAGCTCAGACATGCAGCTTAAAGAGGTGCACCCAGGGGGGTCACTGCACTGCCTACTCCCCACACCTGGATGTGAGCACCTCCTTAATCTTACACACCAGGCACTGGCCGTCCTCGCCTGGTCCTGGCCCTGAATATCATTTCAGACTTGGTATCCCGTGAGACCAGTACCGTTAGTGCCACTCAAGCTTCTGTAGATTGGGTTGTAAGTGATGGTGAATCCAGATTAAATGTTTTAAGCAAAAGGGGAATTTGTTGAGCCTTGTGAGCTGAAAGCTCCACAGACATTTGGCTTCAGGGGCAGCTTGATCCAGCAGCCATTTGGTGTCACTAGATTCTATCTCCAGGCTCTTCTTAGATTAGGGGCCACCGGGAGGGAAGCTGAGGCGCTTTTCCTGGAAGAGGAACATGGGTGCCGGGGCAGAGCAGTAGAGCTCGGCCAGGTCACATGCATGCTGCTTCAGAGTCAGGGAAGGGGGATTCCAGGCAGGGTGGGTGACCTGCCCAGGGCCATGCAGCCTTGGGATCCTGTGGTCTGGGTCTTTCTGTTCTCGTGCACTCCCTGGGTGTTTTGAGGCAGGCCCTTTCTGGCTCTGGCCTTGCCCCAGAGAGAGAGCAGTGCTGAAGGATCAGAGTCCACGCACATGCTCAGAGGGTGGGTGGCAGGCCCCCCCTAGTGCGGCAGCCCTGAGTGGTGGCAGTGGCATTCTGCCCAGCAGGGTCTGTGTCTCCGAGGCTGCAGGCCTGGTGCCCAGCTCTGACTGCGGGCCGCCTTCTGTTGCCGTCCCTAACATTTCCCATTTGTCTCCAAGGATTGCCGAGGCGGCCAACTGCAGGACCTGCTTGCTGTCCGCTGCCAGCTACCTGATTTCCCTGGAGGTGTCCCCACCACCCATGGTCTCCCAGAATCTCTCAGGGTCTCCTCTCATCACGGTTCACCTCAGGCACAGGCTGGTGAGTTGCCAACTGCCCCTCATCCTGTCCTCCCTCTGGTTCGTGCTGAGAAGCTTTGCCATCAGGGTGACTGTATGAGGACACTGTGGTGCTGGCACAGAGTCCCTGCTCCTGTGACTGAACTGCAGCAGGAGGCTCAGGGAGGGCTGGAGGGCCTCTGAGAGCAGAGATGTGTATGGGGATCACACACGTGCCAATGGTCAGGACTAGTGTCCTGTTGGGAGAACAGGGACAGGTGTATCTCTCAGTACAGTGTTTAGTGGATGGGATCAAGGTGCAGAGCTCATCTGGGTTCTCCTCGAGTTCAGCACAAGCATCTCCAGCCTCAGGTTTGCAAGATGAGTTTGCCCTGCCTTGTAATCTCAGTTCCCTCCATGCTTCCTCCGTCACTGGGTGAGAAGGACACAGGTGTGGGAGGTACCAGGGCCTCTGTCCCTTGAGATGCCTGTGATCCTCCTGTGTGGCCCTGTGTTTGAAATGTGGAACTAACACTGCTCCCAAGGAAGTGCCACTGTGCAACCAGCATGGAGCTGTGAGGACCAGCCACACCAGGTGTGTCCATCTGTGCTGCCCTGAAGGACACAGGGACACTGAAGGTTCCAGGTGGAGCTGTCCTTGTGAAGGGGACCAGTGCAGGACAGTAGATGTCCAAGTCCTGCCCAGAAGGGCCAGTGAAGAGTCTGGAGGAGGGCAGGAGAGAGAACAGGCAGGTGGAGGAGCCCCAGGGATCAGAGATGGACTGCCTGGCACAGAGCCAGGTCTATGCCATAGCCAAGTGTCAAGGACATCCCAATTCACACACCCAACACACACGTGAACACCCACAGGCACACATCCAGCACACACTCATACGCACTCCTCCTGAAGTTTTGGGCTGGTGAGCTGTGGAGCCTGAAGTGGTGGTGAGCTCGTGAGGCCACAGCCCACCTTTCCTACCCTGTGTTCTCTGGTGGTTCCCTCAGCGGCTTCTGGGCAGGGTGGGGTACTAAAGACACCTGGCACTCACTCTGTACCTGGGAATGACTCCAAACCAGCCCAGGTGTCCTGCAGCCTAGTCGGGTGGAACATGAGGTTTATGGCCCTCCCATGTTTTTGGCACTGCCATCGTCCCCAGTGTTTGGAATGCTAAGCTGCTGGTCTCAGTGAATGACCACTGGCCTCTTGGTGGCTGCATGCTAGTGCTCTGGAAGGTTGGTGTTTGTTCACAGGTGGACCCAATCCCCCTTTCTGCTCCCCTTATTTTGAACTCTGGTTTTGTTATAGCAAAGTGACAAAGAGCAGAGAGGTGGAGACCCTCCAGCTACATGGTGGGGTAGTGAAAATTAATACTGGCAGCCAGGCACACTGCTGCACCTCTCCTGGGACCATGCACACATGAAACTCACTTCTGAAGGTGTACACTGCCAGGGCAGACTGACACAAGCTGGGTCCTGAGGGTGCCTTGCTGGGTGCTCTTCTGAGTGATCGAGCAGCGACTCTGGGCACAGCAAAGCCTGGATTTAGCAGCCCCAAATGTGTATCCTGACCCAGCACAGCATGTCCAGGAACCCCAAGTGTGCATCCTGCCACAGCACAGCACATCCAGAAAGCCCAGGTGCGCATCCTGTAATAGCACAGCACGTCCAGGAAGCCCAGGTGTGCATCCTGCCCCAGCAGAGCACATCCAGGAAGCCCAGGTGTGCATCCTGTCATAGAACAGCACGTCCAGGAGTCCAGGTATGCATCCTGTCATAGCACAGCACGTCCAGGAGTCCAGGTGTGCATCCTGCCTTAGTACAGCAAGTCCAGGAAGCACAGGTGTGCATCCTGTCATAGCACAGTGCGTCCAGGAAGCCTAGGTGTGCATCCTGCCCTAGTACAGCACATCCAGGAAGCCCAGGTGTACATCCTATCCCAGCACAGCACAGCTAGGAAGCAGAGGGGCAGGAGTGTGGGTGTGGGGTCAGGTGCAGGCTGCAGGTGCTCTGTGAACTCTCTGCGGCAGAGAGGCCAGCAGAGAGGCTCTGGCCTGCTCAACCTGCTAGCCTGCTGTGTCCTGGTGGAAGGGAAGCCAGTGATGGCTTCTGTGGGACTTAGAGCCTGGTTCCCATGTGGCTGGAGAAGAACCTACAGACTGCGGAGCAGAGCTGCACCTTGGGAACACACATGCTCTCCTCTCAGGGATGCTATGGAACCCTCCAGACACAGGAGCTGGGGGGTGTCCAGAGGCACCGCTGCCTGGCCAGGCTCTGGCAAGGCATGGGCATCTTCTTTACCTGGTCCTCAGGCTCCCTAGCAAAAGGTGCCTCGGGGTCCGTGGTCTTCTGCCCGCTGTGGTGGAGTGACAGGCTCTGGGGCCTCAAGGCTATTGCTGGTGGCCTTGGACATTTTTGTCCTTGTGAAGTGAGAAGGTGCCAATTTGAAAACCAGAGAAGAAAGGGTGAGTTGACTGAAGCACAGTCCCTGCCTTGATGACCAGTCACTCTAGGTTACTCTAGATGTTTTTCACAAAGAAAGTATTGAATAAGGAATATTGTCTTGAAGAGAGGCAGATGGGTCTCTGTCATCCCAGCAGAGGACAGTGATTGAAGCTTAGCCCAGTGTCCTCCAGGCCTAGGGTTTTCCTCCAAAGGCTGTGGTCACACTTCTGAGGGCCTCTGGAAATGTATCTTTGAGCTGCTGGGGCCGATGGCCTGTGGGGATGGAGGGTGCTGGGGTGGCTGGGCGTCCCCCTTTCCCCTGTTCTTCTGAGGGGAGGAGGGGGCAGAGGGGCGGAACTCTCTCCCACTCTGCGCATAGCCCAAGGTCTCAGACCAGGGCTGTGGGGCCTGCTTGTCCTGCACAGAGGGGTGCAACCCCAACTGTTGAGGGACAGAGCTCCAGCCCAACCCAGATGGAGCCTCTGGCTGACCTGGGGATGAAGGTGGACACGTTGCAGACCCAGGCTTGCTGGCAGACCCACTGAGGCCCTGGATGTGGGACCATATTGCTCTACTGAGTGTGCTGGGCCCTGTCCACCGCCTGCACCTTCAGGCTTCTGAGGACAAATGGGACAAGAAGTTTTTGAGCTGGCCTGTGTTCTGGATGTGGTTTGTCCTGTGGCTGGGTCACTGCTCCCCCTCCTGTGCCCCCAGGGCAGGACACTTCCTTACACAGGCAGACAGGCCTCCTTGTAGGGCCTATTTTGGTGCCTATGCGTCCTTTGTCACTGAAGTCAGCAAACTGCATGCATTCTCCCAGGACACGGAGAGGGTAAGTCTAGGGGAAGAGGGGTGCAGAGGCTTCTAGTGGTGCCGAGAGCCCCATGCCTGGTACGCCAGGAGCAGACAACGTGCCCGTCATGCCCAGGTGCGGGGCAGGATCCAGACGCGGCCTCTGAGGTAGGTCTGCTGTCCACTGCTTGCTGGAATGGCTCTGCCCTCTCGTGCTCCATGTTTTTCTGGTAAGACTGACGGACCCCAGGGCTCTATTGTGGGGCTGGTCAGAGCACAGCAGGCTGCTGAGCAGTATCCCTGGCCCCCAGCTGTGACAGCCCAACACACCCTCGAGATTCCCAGGGGAGCCCTGGCCTATCACTGCCATGGTAAGCGCAAGATGGCGCCCCTCATACACCACACCCACCATCTGAACTCCCACATCTGCCCATTGACTTATAATTTGGTTGTTAAAGTCCTGGACTATTAACGCCAGCACTTTCCTTTGCTTCCTGAATAGCAGTTTTCCCAGCCAGAGCTGAGGGGGACGGGAGCAGGTGGGTTGTTCTCCTGTGGCGAGAGCTGTTCTTCTAGGATCTGTGGCAGATGGGAAGAGATGCTTTGATGGAAACTTTCTTCTCTGACTGCGGTCCTTCTTTGGTGCACCAGGGCCCAGGGCACCTAGCTGGGCACGCACACTCATGGCATATGCAACTAAACGTCATCTGGAACCCACCATCCAGAAAGAATGGATGGTGATATTCAATTTATTTACAGTTTTAAATTAGTGCACAGGGGTGTGCACGAGGTGGGATCCCTGTGGTGTCCTCGTACGGGTGCATGGCATGCTGTGGTCAGTTTGACCACACCCGTCCTCCTCTTCCCGTCCCTCCCCCCTCAGTCCTCTTTCTCTGCTGCACTGATCTTCTATTTCCATGGATTCCCTGCCCCCCTTATTCTGCTCCAGCTTCTGCATATGAGAGGAGACATCTGACCCGTGACTTTCTGAGTCTGGCTTATTTCACGCCACGTGATGTTCTCCGTTTCCATCCGTTTACCTGCAAAAGCCTTAATTTTATTCTTCTTTGTTTTTTTAATGGCTGAGTAAAACTCCATTGTGTACAGAACATGTTTTCTTTATCCAACCATCAGTTGATGGGCACCTGGGCTGGTTCCATAATGTGGCCATCATGAATTGTGCTGCTATAAACATCCGTGTGGCTGTGTCCCTACGGCATGCTGATTTTGTTTGGATGAGCCTCCTTCAGGCACTTGCCTGAGAAGTGCATGCGGTGCTGTGTACGTGGGCTTTGCCAGCCGTGCTGTTCTGCATTGGGCTCTTGGCTTAACGTTTCCTGACTGACAGCCGTGGACCGCTTATCTCCATGCCTGGGTCACAGTCCACCTTTACCAACCTTTCATAGCCATTGCGAGAAGCATGCTCACCTGTCTAAGCCCAAGAGATGGACAAGGGATGGCAAAAATCCAGGTTTTGCTTTAGCGAGGTCTTGCAGGACTGGGTGCCTGGGGAGCGGGCAGACCAGGAGCAGCCACAACCAGTATGCTATCCCCAGAGCACAAGGCCCCTCCCCGTTCCCCGCTGGCTGAGTGCTGTGGGGTGTGCAGTCTTCCTGAAGGTGCCCAGGCTCCCACTGGGCTGTGTAAAGAAACACACCTTCAGGTGCCCATCTCCCATCTCCCTCTGTTCTCTTATGGTAGGAGAGTTCCCTGGTTGGGTGCCTGGGGGCACCATGCAGTCTCCCTCTGCTGGCCAGGTGGGCCTTCCTTCTCCCCTGCCATCTGTCAAGGGGTTGGGAATTCCACACT